CCTGTTGCAATAGAAACCCCAGCATTTTAGAGATGCTAGTACCATGGAAGGACCACCAAGGTCAGCAGCAAGTGTGGTCAGGAAGAGGGCTGCCCTAAGCCTGTGAGGAAAGCTGTGTATACTGTGGCTAGTAGAGTCACTCAAACCCTTTGGAGCCCATAAGAGTGTCATAGCAGTAGAAAAATGACTAATACAAGTCATACAAGTGGGATTAAATTCTGGAGATATTATAATAATATATATTACAAATCTTTTTTTTTTTTTTTTGAGACAGGTTTTCTCTGTGTAGCACTGGCTGTCCTGGAACTTACTCTATAGACCAGGCTGGCCTTGAACTCAGAGATCTGCCTGCTGCCTCTGCCTTCTGAGTGTTGGGATTAAAGGAGTGCACCATTACTGACCACCTACAATTTTTCTTTTTTTTTTAAAGATTTATTTATTTATTTATTTATTTATTTATTTATTATGTATACAACATTCTGCCTCCGTGTATGCCCACATGCCAGAAGAGGGCACCAGATCTCATTACAGTATCTTGGAGAGGAAATCCCAAGTCTAAATCTAAAGTTTGTATTGTATTCATATATAGATAACGTTTTTAGCTTTTTTATTTTGTTTTTATAGAACTATATATTTTTCTCTGCTCCCCTCCCTGCCTCTCCCCTCCCCTTCTACCCTCTCCCATGACTCCCATACTCCCAATTTACTCAGGAGATCTTGTCTTTTTCTACTTCCCATGTAGATTAGATCCATGTAAGTCTCTCTTAGAGTCCTCATTGTTGTCTAGGTTCTCTGGGATTGTGGTTTGTAGGCTGGTTTTCTTTGCTTTATGTTTAAAAATCACTATAGGTGAGTACATATGATAGTTGTCTTTCTGGGTTTGGGTTACCTCACTCAATCTGATGTTTTCTCTCTCCATCCATTTGGGAATTAGCTCTTGTAGACCACGCTGGCCTTGAGTATCACTTTTCCATAGATCCCTCTCTTGTCAATCCCATTAGAGAGACTGCTGTTCTTCCTGACCCTTTAGTATTTTTATTCTTATAATTTAAGAAAGTTAAAATACATACATAGAATGAATATATGTATGTATTATGTCTCTCTCACTAGAACCCAAATCAACCCTTTATTGACCATGGACTTTACTTCCTGAATTTAAAATGATGAGTGGCACAGAATGTGCATTCAGTAAATGCATAGTTTTCAAAATACTGTTTTGCCTTGCTTTTTTGAGATAGGGTTTCTTTTCTTTTCTTTTTTTTTTTTTTTTTTTTTTTTTTTTGCTTTTTCGAGACAGGGTTTCTCTGTGGCTTTGGAGCCTGTCCTGGAACTAGCTCTGTAGACCAGGTTGGTCTCAAACTCACAGAGATCCGCCTGCCTCTGCCTCCTGAGTGCTGGGATTAAAGGCGTGTGCCACCATCGCCCGGCGAGATAGGGTTTCATGTAGCCCAAACTGACTTCAAACTTGCTGTGTAGCAGAGGCTGCTCTTGAACTCCTGATCTTCCTGCCTCTATCCCCTCCCTCCAAGTGTTAGAATTATATGTGTGTCACTGATGTTTTTAACTAAGTCTCTATGGCTCTATGTTGTCGGGGTTTCTGTCCTGCCCGGTTCCTGCAATTGTTATGTTCCAAAGAAATCACACAGAGGTCTACATTAGTTATAAACTGATTGGCCCATTAGCTCAGGCTTCTTATTAACTCTTATAATATTAGCCCATTATTCTTGTCTATGTTAGCCACATGGCTCAGTACCTTTTTCAGCGAGGCGGTCACATCTTGCTTGCTCTGTGGTTGCACCAGAACTGCAGACCAAGCTTTCCTCTTCCCAGAATTCTCCTGTTCTCACTGACCCACCTCTGCTTCCTGTCTGGTTGTCCTGCCTATACTTTCTGCCTAGCTAAGGGCCAATCAGCTTTATTAAAATATAATTGACAGAATACAGACCATTGTCCCACACCAGCTCTATTTTATCAATAAAGTCTCAGGAGCCAAATGCTAGAGTGAAAAATCTGATAACTCAGGGAGGCAGAGAAAGTATTCAGCTGCTTCCTTCTCTGCTGTCATCCCAGAAAGAGACTTTTTCCTGGTCACTTCAAACAAAACCTCTCTTCCACTCTCCCGCCCCTCCATCCTCCTGATTTCTTACTCTATGATGTTTTCCTGACAACTGGTTACTTGCTCTTGACCTATGGTTGATTTTATTTGATCCTGATCACAATATTCAAGCAGAAAACTCTTGGATTAAAGGTGTGTGCTAGGATTGAGCCACAACATAGCTAGAAGCAGGTTTTTTCAGTAAATAATGCAATCTTGGGGTTCACAGTGTGATCAAATGTCCTGCAACATGTCATCTTGATCAGCTACCAGTAAATGGATGTTTAATAAATGGTAAGTGAACCAGGTATTGAATTATATGAGAACTGAAGCTATGATTCAATATGGGCCATGACTTTTGAATATGTATCAACTCTAGGCACCACAGGTACTCCTGCCTGTTTTGTTAGAATATATATCTGAAAAAGAGCTATGTCTTACAGTACAATTGAATGAATGCAGTTTCATCCTGGTACCCCTGCTAAGCTCTCTCATGGCACAAGTTCTGGAAAACTCAATGCTCATCCCAAGATTTTTCTAAATTATCTGTAAACATTTTCTCCCTTTCTTCTTTTCCATACGGCTCAGATTGGGAATTATCTTGCCATTTCTTGGACCTGATGTTTTGCATCTATTGTCTCACAAGTTCTAACTTTTCCTCCATTTACACAAAAACTCATACAAATAATTTGTGCTTTAGCAAACCTGACTGAAATGTCCATGACATAAGGAGAATTGTTTGCTGGCAGTGGAAGGCGATAAAAGAAGAATTACATCAGTGCAACTCAAAGAACTGAAAGCGAGGGCTGGGGAGATGGTGCAACAGTTCAGAGCTCTTGCCGCTCTCCAGAGGAGTTCAGTTCCCAGCACCCATGTCGGGCTGAGGCAGCTCATAACTGCCTGTAACTCTAACTCTAGGCTAGGACACCCACCCTCTTTTGGCCCCCGAAGGCACCCATATGCATACATACATAAAAAATTAAAAAAATAATGACTATAGGTAAATATTTAAAAATAGTATTTGTTAAAATCTTTCTGGAACCTCATCTTCAGAGTTTTTTTTTTTTTAAATGATGTTTCTGGGGTAGGGGAAGCACATGGAGATCAGAGGACTTTTAGGATACCAGGTGGGTGGGTGTGCACGTGTGTGTGCATGCATGCATGTGCGCAAATGTGAATGCATGCATTGTGTGCATGTGTGAGTGTGTGCACGTGTATGTGAGCGTGTGTATGCATGTGCGTGCATGCATGTGTGTGTGTGTTTTCCAGGGATCAAACTCAGATTGTCAAATTTGCCTGGTAAAGCTTTCACCCATCTTGTTGGGCCCAGAGAGATTTTTCACTGACTCGCAATGTCTCTCTTCCTCTTTCAATTCCCATTACTGCCTCTTTCATTTCCCATTACTGCCTCTTTCAATTTACAGAGCGCCCAAAGTCCTCTTCATGTTATTAATACTCATTCTCAAATTCAGCTCTAGGTTTTTCTTTGCTTATTCAATTCCACAGATGCTCAGCAGAAAAAAAAATTTTTCCTAAAATCCATCCTCAAAAAACAATTTCTTCCTTAAGTATGAAAAACTATTTCTTTATTTTTATTTCATGCATATTTGGTGTTTTTGCCTGCATGTATGTTTATATGAGGGTGTTGGATCCCCTGGAACTGGAGTTACAGACAGTTGTGAGCTACCTGGGAATTGAACCAAGGTCCTCCAGGAGAGCTCTTAACCACTGAGTCATCTAGTGGCCCACTAGTTTCTGGGGGTCACCTGTCTCTAACGCCTCACTTGTCAGAAGTGCAGAGATTACACACGGGTGCTATGGTGTCTGGCTTTAAATGAGTTCTGGGGATTTGAACTCAGTTCTTCAGGTTTGCATGGCCCACTGAGCCATCTCCCCAGACCTATTGATTTTTAAGTAGGAATACAAGAATATTATTTTTTGCAGGTATCTAATTGTAATGGAAAGGAAATTTTACATTTATCATAAAGGCTGTATGTGAAGCACCGTTGGGAGACTGGACACTTACTACACTTTATGATTAATGACTATCTAGTAAGCGTCTTCACTTTATACACTGAGTAGACATGTGCTTCCACATGAGCCATGCATCAAACAGTAAGACTGTCCCTAGGGATTTAATGACCAGGGCCAACAACTCCACCGTCACCAACTTTTATATATACAATCAGAATAACTCACCCTTTCTCCACAAGAGTGCATAAGTAGACTCTCCAAAATGTCCAGAGCCCAGCTTTGTAAAACTGGGCCTTTAGCTGTGCGGTGGTGGCGCCCGCCTTTAATCCCAGCACTCGGGAGGTAGAGACGGGCGCATCTCTGTGAGTTCGAGGCCAGCCTGGTCTACAGAGCTAGTTCCAGGACAGGAACCAAAGCTACAGAGAAACCGTCTCGGGAAAAAAAAAAAAAAGGCTGGGCCTTTAGGAGATGATGACGGTGTCTAAGCAATGTGTTTTCCGAACACGTCAGTTCTTTGGTTAACCAGAGACTTGGATTTGGAGAATGCTCATTTCCAACTTTTTGAGGTTATCAATTCCCTTCCCGTCTTTTTTTTTCCTAATTTCTGATCTGAGAAAAAAAGATACACAGTTGAGAGGCGCTAGAATATCCTTGCTTATTCCGCGGGAAAGTCCTACACACGCAGTGACACAGATCGAACATGCTACCACACGGAAATAAGAAGCTTGAGAACCCCGGAAGCACCAGATGCGCGCGCTTCCGTCCCGCACAGGCGCAAACCGCCCCACGGACGCCTGCGCAGACGGCTCGGCGCGCGCCCTTCCGGAGCAGGCCATCCCCTGCCCCTCCCAGCGGGACAGTGGGAGGAGTTACGGGGGCTCACTGGAAGACCCGCCTCTGCCGTGACGTCTAGAGACGCGACGCGTTGCCACGCAAAGCAAATCGGGAAGAGGGGATGAGCTACGCTGGCCTGCGTCCGAGAGCGGAGGCTCGTTCTCCCTCGGGTGGTGGGCGATGGGCGTCAGTCGAGGAGGCCGGCGTTAGCGGAGTGCGGGCGCTGCGGTGAGTGCGTCCTGGCTCCGGCCCCTGTTCTCGGGGGAGGCGTCCGCCAGCTGCTGGTCATCTGGGAGACGAGCCCTGTCCGCGGAGGGGTGGGACAACCCCAGACAACTGGCTGGTCCAGCAAGGGCCCGGACTCCTGGTGTCTGCGTTGCCCTCCTACGGTTGCCCGTCTCAGAGAGTGGCCTTGACCAGTTCTCCCTTCTCTTGGACACTCGACCCGACTTTGGTCTCCTTCCTTTTGCTTCCGTTTTCTGGTTTTGTGCCACCTACCATCCCAGGCCTTATTATAATCACTTGTCCAGCTTCCTCTAGTAACTGCCCTAGTCACGCATGTTTTTAGTGAAGTACAAGAAGTGAATTAAACAAACTCCTCACACCTAAGACATATTCAAATAGGGGGTTTTCTTTTCCTAAAATGTGCCTTCCATTGTAGACTTTTGGCCCCGACAGGTTAATTTCAACTCGGGTGGACTGAGGGGATTGCCAGAACCGCAAATTGCAGTGATATTCATTAACTCACAAAGCTGCAGACCCGTTCCTAGGTTTAGTTCTTGCTTCCAGTTTACTCTGTGACCTTGACTAAGCCAGTCATTGAAGAAATATTTACTTGACTCACAGAGGTGTTGCAGAGTCTAAGAAGTTTAATATTTATTAACAGCTCTGGGTGTTCGGATCAGAACGTTGCCTATCTAACAGAAGGATGTAATTCTTGTTTGTTAGTTTTTGGGTTTCTTCTTGTTGTGGTTTGTTTGTGTTTCCCTAGGCAGGGTTTCTTTGTGTGGCACCACCACCGCTCAGCACAATTATTTTTTCCTTTAGACGGAGGCTTACTATTTGAACCAAACTGGTCTCACACTCACAGACACCCTCTTGCTCTGCCTGGAGAGTTGGATAAAAGCGTGCAACAAGCACTACACCCAGCAGGGGTTTTCTTTTTTAATCTATAGACTATGCTTAGTTGGTTATATGTCATGCTGCATTAAAAATGACAGGGTGTGGGGTTGTTTGTTTGTAACAGCCCTGCCAGCCCTGGAAGTTGCTTTGTCGACCAGACTGACCTTGAACTCGCAGAGGTAAACCTGCCTTTGCCTCCTTGTTAGGCTCCCTTTTGTTATTTTTCAAAGTTCTCCGACACTTAGCCTTGTGAATAGGTTTTGCCGCATTTCAACTCATCCTGTTTAAGACTCCCTGCTGAATGTCAGTCCTGTTGGATTTAGGTAGGTAGTTTCTCATCTATAGAGTACTGTGTCAATATGATGATATTGGCTGTAGTCATGCTTCTTTAATTATACTTAATTATAACTAATAATTAGAATATATCTTAATTATGCCATAACACTGTAGATACTTAAAATGTATCTTCCTGATCTTTCGACTATATTTTAAGCACATCTTTGAAGTTGAATTGCAGGGATCTTGCTGTAGTAATATAAACCTGTCAGTAATGAATAATTGCTCATAGACTTATATTTTTTGAGACAACAATGAATAAGAAATAACAAAAATATTTAAAGATGTCTTTTCATTAGCTAGTTGGTTTATTTACTTGTAGTTTATTAATCATTATGATCTTTTGTTTATTGGTAATATAAATAGGATAGAATCCAGGTAGCTTTGTAAATAAAACAGTTGTAAAATAAAGCCATTATATCAAACTTTAGTCAAAAATGCTTAGCATCCTAACTTTTTGAAGGGAAGATTATTTTGTCTCACAGTTTCAGATGTTCCTGCCCAAGGTTGGTTTCGTGTCTGAGATGAAGCAGATCTCATGGTGGTAAGAGTATGTCATAGAAATTGTTCCCCTCATGGCAGTCAAGAAGCAAAGAGGAGTCTTGCATTTATTTTGTTATAAAAATAACCAGCTGAGTTTAGAGTTATCAGAATGCTTAACTTGTGCTGAACTTAAGGATTGTTCTTTCTTTTGGATAGTTTTTGGTGTTGATTGTAGCCGGAAATGATAGCTGGAGTGCCTATACACAGCCTCTTTGTGTGGCTTTCACTTCTTGCATCACGTGGGTTGGGGTCCATGACCATACACCGGAGAGGCAGGAAATGAAAGCTGTCAGTTTCTGAAAAGCCTGTACCAGGAAATTGGTACATTACTTTAAAAATATTTTATTGGTTAGATCAATCAAAGATGATAGATCAGTCCATCACATGATAGACTTATACATTTTTGTGTTTGTATATGTTTGGTGCTAGAGCCCCCAGGGCATAGCATATGCATATCAAAGCCCTGCTGTGACCTGTTATACCTATAGCTTGACTCCTACCTTTTAAATCAAAAAACTCTCAAAACTACTTTATAGGCACCTGATGTGTGTGCAACACTGCAAGCCCATATACAACACACAAAGCTGTATTTTGTATATATCAAATATTCTAAATACTTATCAATTATAACCTGAATATATATAATCCCTCTTAGAAACTAGGGATATTTCCTTCTATCTTTCCTTACTTTTCCTTAGCATTCTAATACTTTTATTTAGATGCCTTAGAATTCTTCTTTTGCTTGTTTAGGATTATCCCTTTCTTCATTGCAGTGACTAGAGGCTAGATAGAAATGGGCCAAGCAGTGTTTAAATGAATACAGTTTGTGAGAAACCCAGTTTGTGTGTTGTTATTTCGGGCATAAGCTAGCAGGCGGCCGGGGTGCTGGGGATGGAGCCCCGCCGCTCTTATCACTACATTTTTTAATTAACATGATATTTCTGTTTAGGCACATTGTGTAGGTAATGTTCTCTTACTATATACCTAACGTGTTCAGAGCTGAGCTACTTATTGTCCTGGAAATTGGCAGTTCGCATCTGGGAGCTTTTTCCTTACTAGAACACTGAGCAGTGTCCAGAGCATTTTGTTTATCAGGGCTAGAGAAAGGAAGATGAATGTTATTAACATCTTGAAGGCTAGAGGTACTGCCAGATGTGCTACGTGGTGTAGAGCAAGCTCCCACAAGAAAGTTCATTCTGGTCTGAAATGGGAGAATGCCAAGGCTGAAACGTGCTTTTCATGATCATGATGATCAGTTTTTAAATTACAGTATTTTTGTTTGTTTTCCCCCCACATTTTTGTTGTTGGTCTGCTTGTTGATTTTGAGACAGATCTTTTTTTGTGTACCTGAGGTAGCTTTGAGCTCACCACCCTTCTAGCTTCAGCCTCCTGAGTAGGCGTGTACCACAGTGCAACGGTCATAATGAATGCTTGTTATTGTTATTTAGTTAATAACAATTAGTGTTCTTCCCTTTTCACAGAGGGAGAATGGGGTAATGTAAGCAAGTGAAAACACTCAGTTTTTACTATCATTGAATCACCAAAGCAGTGTGCCTAATTTGTTCTTCCCTGTAGTGGCTTTCTAATTGTTCTTTTTTGTAGGATATTTTCCTTATTCCTGTCTTTTTCACATGCATCTTGTATATACCCATTTTGGCCATCCTGAGGTAATATTGACTCTACTTCTTGCTAAGTCAAATGTAAACTCTTCTGGGTGGCTTCACAGATCCTCCATTCTGTGACTATATTTCCTTAACTAACAGACTGTTAGCTAGCAACTATTAAGTGTTGACTGAAGATTATTAAAGTAGATATCAGGATATAACATACTATCAGTGGACTCATTTGATCCCAGAGATTATTGTTTAGTGATTCAATAGTTTGCCTTACTTTTCTTCATTGTTTTTCCATACTAAGTTCTCACTCTCTGTCTCTATGGTGCTTCCCTTCTGAAATGGTTCCTTTCTCACCTCAGCTGTCATCATTTCAGCCAAATTGTTATTTGGGCCAAAAAACTGTACTGAATGAGCAGTATGGTCAACAAGCACTGTAGGACTCAGACTAAGAAGTAAACTCCAAGAACTGGAACCATCAGAGACAGAAGGGAAGCTTAAGCTGGCCTCTGAAAGAGGATGGGGCCAACATTGAAAAAGACACTGTGGGGCTGGCTAAAGCTTTTTCTTTCTCTTTCTAGCTAAACCGGATTTTCCTTTCCTTGAGTCTTGCTAGTGACCAGAGTCATATCAATATACAGTGGAGCAATTGGTATTAGACTTTTGTGACTGATCCTGTTCTCTGTGTCCTGTAGAACAGTGCTCTTCAGAGTCTGAATCATTGATGGTTCCACCTTACCTTCAGTGATGAGACATGGCTGCAATATGTAGCCCTGCCTAGTGTCTGTGTTTCTCAGGATGTAAAACTTGCCTGAGAGTGGAAGTCTGATTACTATAGAAGTCAGTATGATTAATTGGTTTACCTTTGTCACAAGCTTATTTTGCTGTAGACCAGAGAGAGGTAGTTCCCCAACCGGTATTGGTCTTTGGACTGCATTTGAGTAGCACTTCTGTCATGTGAGCCATCAAGTTCTTGTTTTGTTTTGAGACATTGCTTTGCTCTCTAGCTTAGGCTGGCTTGAATCTCAGTTCTCCTGCCTCAGCTTCAGAGGTGCTGGGATTTCAGGGAAGTGCCACATCTGGCTACTTTGTTAACTTTAGTTTATAATCCTTTTTTGAAGTATAGCAGAGTTTTACTGGATTATATGTTCAAGGCCAGCCTGGCCTTCATAGCAAGGCCCAGTCTCAAATACACACACACACACACACACACACACACACATGCACACACACACACACACATGCACACACACACACATGCACATGTGCACATTCTCATTTGTTCAAAAACCATTGACATCATTCCATGCTGTGTCTGATCATTTGGCAAGTCTTGTCATTGTCTTTGCAGTGTTCTTGTATATACTTCCTCTATTCTGTTTCTGTTGCCCTAGTTCTAACCTTCATCCTCCTTTCTTAACTGTAGTTACAAATCATACAGTAGACAACTAAGATTTTCTCTCTTCAGTCTGAAAGCCCATCTTTGCTCTTATTTGTTGGGACTACATAACTTTTTTCAGAGCCCTGCTGTGACACTGTCATTACCTTTAGAGAAAAAGGTAAATACTTAGGTGCCTTTCATGACACTTTAGGATCGTTGTGGAGACTGTTTTGTGGTTCCACATACTCTCTCTGGCAGCGGATTCCTAGAGGGGTGCTTGTTTTCTTGACCTTGCCATCCTGCTGTTCCTCATCTCCGCCAAAGAGCATACATAGATTCTTTCTCTTCTGATTACTTCTAATTCCCTTTAGTGATTGTTTTCCTCCTCAATGTATTTATTTGTAACACTATCTACTATTTTTGTTTCTACGGTTTACAGTTTTGTTTCCCATTAGTTTTCGAGCCTTCTGTGGAAATATCTGATTTTAATCCTTCAGCTTTTAAAGGCATGACATTTAAACTATAGGATATCTATGTGTGTTTAAATTTAACTTTAAAGTAGCTAGTGACTTACTGTTTTAAATTATCTATAATCTGGTATGATTTGCACATTCTTTTAAAGATCCAAGGTTTAGGGGCTAAAGAGATGGGTCAGTGGTTAAGCGTACTGACTGCTTTTCCAGATGACCCAGGTCCGATTCCTAGCACCCATTGACAGTTCACAGTATCTGTAATTCCAGTTCCAAGGGATCTGACACTTTCTGTGTTTGAACTAGTGTTTGTCCTTAGGGGCCGATTTGACGCCTACAGTACAGAGCCTGCATTTGCGAGGTAAATCTACTGATTTACACTATACTAAAATAATGATATTGACTGCGAGAATGACGAAATCCTGGGGGGTCCCTGTCATTCCCTTTACTTAATGGATGTTTTTAGTTGGTTTGACAGTGAGTTGTTACTGAATTGATACCTCAGTAGAAGGACACATTCAATGTCAGTTGACCCATTTGGAAGTGATGGTATGGACAGACACTATTTCTCACCATTATTATATCTTTATACACAGGATTCAAAATAGGTAAAATGTACAGAATGATTAAAGGCATCTCAAGTTATCAATTACTGTTTAGTTCAGCATGTCTTTATAACTGTAGGGAGCCTGTATAGATAGAAAAAACTGAAAATGGCAAAAACATAGCTTGTAGAGAAAAATAATTTGGTGACTAAGAATGTAGTACTAACATAGAATTGGAAGGGATAAATCTAAAGAATTAGTGTGTTATACAGGAATGACTAGAATTAAAGAAAATTGGAGGCCGGGCAGTGGTGGCGCACGCCTTTAATCCCAGCACTCGGGAGGCAGAGGCAGGCAGATCTCTGTGAGTTCGAGACCAGCCTGGTCTACAAGAGCTAGTTCCAGGACAGGTCCAAAGCTACAGAGAAACCCTGTCTCGAAAAACCAAAAAAAAAAAAAAAAAAAAAAAAAAAGAAAATTGGAGTGCTTTTGGAGTTTCATGTAAGTGAACTAAGACCATTCATATTCTCTCTCTTTCTCTCTCTCTCTCATTTTAAGTCTCATTTTAAGACAGGTTTCTCAGTGTAGCCTTGGCTGTCCTGGAACTCCTTCTGTAGACCAGACTGGCCTTGAACTCGCAGAGATTTGCTTTCTCTGCCTCCTGAATGCTGGGATTAAAGGTGCACCACCACCACCCAGCTAAAACCATTCTCTTAAATTGTAACTTAACCTTTAAATTTTTTTTTCTTTTTTAAGCCAGGCAGTGGTGGCAAATACCTTTAACCTCAGCACTCTAGAGGCAGAGGCAGGCAGATCTCAGGGTTTGAAGTCAGCCTAGTCTACAAAATGAGTTTCAGGACAGCCAGGGTTACACAGAGAAACCCTGTCTTGGAAAACAAACAAAACAAAGTAAAATTTAAATTTTTATTTTATGTGTATGGCTGTTTTTCCTGCTTGTATATCTACACAACACTTGGGTGTTGGATCTCTGGAATTGGAGTTACAGATGGTTGTGAGCCACCATGTTGGTGCTCGAATTGAACACTGGTCTTCTAGAAGAGCAGTCAGGGAGTACTTAGTTTCTGAGCCTTTTCTCTAGCTCCCTGTTATTCAGTCTTTTAGGATTAGGTGCTTGTTGATCTCCATTCATGTAATTAAATTGAATTGATAGAATCATTTAGAGAGCAGAGAGAGATGATGGGAAAAATTAATGTTGCAGTTAAATGTATTAATGTAGGCTTTAATTCAGATTGTAATTAGTTCTGCATTACAGAAAGCCATATATGAAGTTAATCAGGTCACCGACATTTTCATGTGGTGACACCTAGGATCTTTTTTCTTCTTGTTTTTTGTTTTGTTTTTGAGAGGGTTTCTATGTAGCTTTGGGGCCTATCCTGGAACTAGCTCTTAAAACCAGGCTGGCCTTGAACTCACAGAGATCTACCTGCTTCTGCCTCCCAAGTGATGGGATTAAAGGTGGGTGCCACCACTGCCTGGCTACACTTAGGATCTTACCAAGACCTTTTACCTTGGATGCTTTGATCTGCTCCATCTCTAGGTCTTGGTGAATATTCACACACACAATTTAATTGTATATACCTTGCCATTCTTTACACTTTCGATTTTTTACTCCATGTTTTTTCTTGTCACAGTTTGACACAGCATATCTGGAAACAAAGAATGTCACAAAATCAAAGACTCAGAGTAAACCGAAGTGTAAGAGAAGTGTTTGGTAGGAGCAGAAATATGTTGTTTTTGTTCCCAGCTCCATATAAACCTGGTTCTGCCTAAAACTTTTCTTTTTTTTTTTTTTAATATTTATTGATTTATTATGTATACAATATTCTGTCTGTGTGTATGCGTGAAGGCCAGAAGAGGGCACCAGACCTCATCACAGATGGTTGTGAGCCACCATGTGGTTGCTGGGAATTGAACTCAGGACCTTTGGAAGAGCAGGCAATGCTCTTAACCTCTGAGCCATCTCTCCAGCCCCCAACTTTTCTTTTTATAAACTGATATCAAGAAGAAAAGAAATATTTCAAGTTGAAAATTCTACTTGTAATATGTATCAAATGTAGTTTTAACAGACAAAAATATAAAAGCTCTTACTGTTCTGTTCTTTTTAATAGATATTTTGATACTGATGGCAAAATGGCACAATAATCCATTTAGTTAATGAATATTTGAAAATAAATCTTGCTTATACCATAGATTTTGTATGTTTGTGTGTGTTTATATATATTTTTATGTATGTTTATTATGTGTATATATATTGCATTCTCAAAATAGATATTCAAGATAATTTAAAATGAGGAAGGATACAGTTAAGTAGTAGATATTTGTTTTTGTTTGAATAGAGTCTCACAAATTGGTAATAAACTCATAATCTTACCTCAGCTCTCAATTGCTGGACCATGCCTGACACTCTAGTAATGTTTTGTTTGGTGCAGGTGGGATGGGTGTAGGTGTGTGTTGCTAAGCAGTCCAGAGCCTTACATGTCAAGCAGTCACTTTGCTGCTGAGCAAATGTTAAAAGTTTCATTTTTTTAACACTTATCTTTTCTCTAATGAGGATAATGAGTGGAATTGTTTGCTTTGCTTTAGGAAAGAACTGCTTTTCATGAACTACACCATCCATTGTTGAAGTGGAAGAGCGAGCATCACTCATCATGCCTGCTGTAGCTTCCGTTCCTAAAGAACTCTACCTCAGTTCTTCACTAAAAGACCTCAATAAGAAGACAGAAGTTAAACCTGAGAAAACCAGCACCAAGAAGTGTGTGCACTTTGCAAGTTTGGTTAAAGCATTGATTTTACTTCATTTCCTTATTATTTAGATTTAATGAATAGCCAATTAAGATGATCACAAGAGTAAAATAGCTCCAGAGATGTTCTTAAATTTGTGTTAGCAGAATAAATGTTTGATTGCTCAAATGTAACTTCCTGGCCAGTATGTATACTAGACAATAAGTTTAAAAGAATATGAGAGTTCTATTAAAGCCATTTTGCCACAAGCTATTTTCTTCCCATAAAACAGTCTAACTTTTAATTAAAGATTGCCTTTACTCGTGTGTGGTCCACTTGTAAGTTAGAATGCTGGTGTAGTCTTCCTCTGACTAAAAGAGGGGCTGTGACTTCTTTTTTGTGTAGTTATCCTGGCTGTTTTTATGGCAGCTTGATACAAACTAAAGTCATCTGAAGGGAGTGACCCTAAGTGAAAAAAAATGCCTGCATAAGATCAGGCTGTAGGAAGGCAAGCCCATAGGCCATTTTCTTAATTAGTGATTTTTGGGAGAGGCCCAGCCCACTGAGGTTGGGACACTCCTGAGCTGGTGGTCCAGGGTTCTTTAAGAACGCAGGTTGAGCAAGCCATGAGGAAGGAGCAAGTCTGTAAGCAGCACTCTGTACCCCTTCACCAGCTCCTGCCCCAGTTCTCCACAGGTTTGACTGCCTGCTTGGCTTCCCTCTATGGACTGACTAGGGACATAAACCCTTTCCTCCCTGAATTGCTGTGGTCATAGTGTCTCATCACAACAATAGATAAGATAGAAACATTAGTATTCTGTAAGTTTTATTTTGTGCCAATGTGATACAGTCTTCAACTTACCGATTTATCTTATGTGATTTTATTTCCCTGGGTATGTGTGCCATCTAAGGCACAGGTAGAAAATGCGCCATTCCAAGAAAGGTTCCAAATTTTCATGGTCAAGGGATCAACTGATTCTGATACTTGCTGGATATATAAATCTGCTAAAAATAGGTTATCGTTAAAATTGTTGACTCTAGTAGTTAAGGAACAGAGAACAGCAAAAAACAAAAAAACCTTTTTGTTCAAATTTATTTTCTCCAGTAAAAGATTTAGAGATTACTATGTAATTACATTATTATTTAGATGGAAATCAAGTTTTAGAAAGAAAGGTAGATCTAGCTGCCACATTCCCCAGACTTAGGAAACTAGTTCCTTTTTCTTTTTTTTCTTTTTCTTTTTTTTGGTATTTCGAGACAGGGTTTCTCTGTGGCTTTGGAGCCTGTCCTGGAACTAGCTCTTGTAGACCAGGCTGGTCTCGAACTCACAGAGATCCGCCTGCCTCTGCCTCCCAAGTGCTGGGATTAAAGGCGTGCGCCACCATCGCCTGGCGAGAATAGTTCTTAAAGGGATTGGAGATAAACAGGACACATGATCCCAAATGAACCAATGAAGACAAAGTTAAAGAGACCTGTGTAAGCACAAAGGCATTTTATTTATTTATTTGCATCTTTCACATCATGCCTCCTGATCCCACCCATCTTCTGGCCTACCTCAAAATAAAACAAAATTTAAGAGAAAAAGGGAAAAATGGAAGAAGGGGAAACTCTCGTCATGGGAGCTGCACTGTGACACACTGACTCATACAGTAAACCCTTTTTCCATATATTTTCACATGTAGTCATTTATCAAAAAGAAACGTTGGTCTTATTCAAGGCCCCTGGTCTGTAGGCACAGGGGTATTTTAATGTTTTTTTTTTTTTAATTATTTATTTATTATGTATACAATATTCTGTCTGTATGCCTGAAGGCCAGAAGAGGGCGCCAGACCTCTTTACAGATGGTTGTGAGCCACCATGTGGTTGCTGGGAATTGAACTCAGGACCTTTGGAAGAGCAGGCAATGCTCTTAACCACTGAGCCATCTCTCCAGCCCCACAGGGGTATTTTAATGAGTCATTTTATCAAGGAAATAAATGGGAAGAAACAAAACATCAGTGCTGACAGTTGAGGGTGAAAACATAAATAAAAGTAAGGAGAGAAGACCTGAGAGTACACCATTGTTTCTTAATATTACCAGTAACAGAATGGCTTAAAAAAATACCTTTTAAAGGGGAGAAATGGGGAAAGATTGTCTTACTTCTTGAGGTAAATTGGTAAATGTGGTCTAACAAGGAAAGTAATTTTGTTTAACTCTTGTTACAAGCCACCTTTAAACTTTCTCAAAAACAAAGGGCAGGAACATCCTAAAGGTTAAACCTAAGATGGCCAGTCATTCCTTTCTAGCTGTCTATGGTTTATATCTTAAGACTAGTCTAATCTCAAAGGGAAGGTATGAAAGGAGGTGTGTGAAGTAAACTGCCTAAATCATGACAGTTATCTTATGGTCACCTGCAGAGTTTATATAGATTTGTATTTTCCCTCCAGTAGCAAGTATTTTAAATTTTCTTTCAACTTTTAAGTTACGTCCACAGCGCTCAGAAGATCTTCAAGGCAGCAGAAGAATGCAGACTAGATCGTGATGAGGAAAGGGCCTATGTGCTTTATATGAAATATGTGGCAGTTTATAATCTTATCAAAAAAAGACCTGATTTCAAGCAACAGCAGGTACCTTTTTTGCATTCTTATTTATTATTTTTGTGTAATAGAACTATTGATTTTCTCTAAAAGTTTTAACCAACTATTCCTCCTCGCCTCTCTCCTGGTACTGGCAATCCTGGGCTTGGTATCGCTAAGCAGAAGCTCTGTCTTCAACATGACAATGGATTTAGATCACATGATGCCTTGACAGTTCTAAACTCCCTTGTGGCTGGGAAAAGCAAAGCAAAAACATAGTCTCTTTGTAAGTGTGTGCATACATACACTTGGCTTGGATCAGCATGTGTATATAGCAGTATATAAGCTGATTGTTCACTTTTTGTTGTAATAAGTTACTGCTAGATCAGAGGGAAGGTTTGACTTTATTCATGCACTAAGTAAGGAAAGTGATACTGAGTGCAGTGACTCATGCCTATAGTCTCATGTGAGCCCAAGAATTCCAGGCCAGCGTGATCCTATATCAGTAAATAAAATAGAGGGACTGGAGACATGGCTCAGTGGTTAAGAGTGCTGTTCAAAAGACCCAAGTTTGGTTTCCAGCACTCATTTCAGATGACTTACAATTGCTTCTGACTCTAGCTCCGGGGTGTCCAGTGCCCTATTCGGTCCTCCTTGGGCCCCTGCACACATGTGGCATACACTCACACAACACACACACAAATGAAAATAAAAATAAATAAGAATATGTTTTCTGTTGTGCTTTCAGGTCAAATACTTAATTATTTGTTATGTGCTAGCCTTTTTATTTGTCTGACTGGCATTGGGGCCGTATTAGATATGGTTTTAGAATTAAGAGCAAGACTTCAGTGTCTCTTCATGTTTTCCTTTTGGTTTTTAATGTGTTTAGCAGCTACTAATCTGTCACTTGGCTGAAGTCATGAGTAGAAAGGGTGGGCAGTCATGGTATAGACAGAAACTGACAACTGGGATTGGTGTGGAGAGAAAAGATGGTTGTATTTCAGTTGGCCTAGAAATAGGCTAAATAATATTCAGGTGGTGTTAAACAACAGGAAGAATGCTGTATTTGTGCTCCCAACTTAGAAATGACCTTGTTACCACATAGAAAGCCCAGTGACCTGATTCAATTCCTTGGACCCACAGGGTAGAAGAGAACTGATTCTCACAGGTTGTTCTGCCTTCCATGTGAGCTCTGTGGGGTGGGGTGTTGCACACTCCCCACGCACACCCCAGATCTGGTACTTTGTAGAGTAAATACTTGGAAGGCTTGAGGATTGTTAGCTTTGGTAGCCACTGTCTGCTGATTGGCCTAGTACTGGACTGATTTTATGTATGTTTGGCTTTTGCTTTATTTTTAGAACTTAGTAGTGCTTTTCCTCTGGCAAGATTGGAATTACCTTTTTGACTATCTGCTTCTCCTCTCTGAATAGATTGGAAGTCATTTTGATTGACAGGAGCTCTTTCCATTTCCATGGTGTCGCTGAGTTTGTGAAGTCAGGTTAGGAAGCTACCTGCAAGGGTCAGCTAACTCAGGCTGTTCTGTGGAATATTACAGTTACTTGGCTCCTTGTTTGCTTGCTCTGTCTAGAGTACCTCATCTTTCCTGTCTTAGAACTGTTTTTGTTGTATTTCATTTACCCTAACCTTTCTCGTATACTCTTTAAGTATGTGAGGTACTTAGATATTTTATAGTTTCAACTACTTAAATTGGGTAGGGACAGAATATGTAACTGAATTCCTTCAGAATTGGGTGTTTTCCCTCTTATTTTGTATTGCAAAGTGTTAAGTTGTAAGTAACAGTTGTTAATGTCAAAGAGAGGGCACAGTGATTTAACTGAAACCCACTCAAATCCTGAATAATGATGTCAGGGTTGTCTGAGAAGGAAGAGAAGGAGTGAAATACTGGCATAGTAAATTCTCATGAAACTAGAGTTATATTTAAAAATCTGCAGTGAATTTAAAAATTAGCAGCATTGCTGATAATCCTCTAACAATCAACTCAGAGATTCACCTGCTTTTGCCTCAGGAGTGCTGAGGCACTCCTGGCTAACCTTTTTAGATAAGGAATCTGGAAATTTTTAGATAGGAATAGGACAGTTGTACTGGTAAACCTGCGAAGAATTTTTAGTCGAGTAGGAATCAGATGTTACCTCTCTATTCTGCCAATTGTCATGTTATTGACAATATCTATGCTGCTGAGTCTCTAGGAAACCTCACTAATATTAAAGGACCGTTGCCTCATAGTTTGTAATAGACATGCCCAAACACAGCATGTTATTTTGGCATTTAAGATAAAGCAAGCTCTCAGACTACCTTTCTAATTGAGTTCATGAAATTAAAACAAATGAAAACTTTTTTTTTACTTTGTGTTTTACTTTTGTAATAAGTTTGCAATGATGATTGCATTATACTTTTTTAAAATTTATGTATTTATTTATTTATTAAAGATTTCTGCCTCCTCCCCGCCACCGCTTCCCATTTCCCTCCCCCTCCCCCAATCAAGTCCCCCTCCCTCGTCAGCCCGAAGAGCAATCAGTGTTCCCTGCCCTGTGGAAAGTCCAAGGACCCCCCACCTCCTTCCAGGTCTAGTTAGGTGAGCATCCAAACTGCCTAGGCTCCCACAAAGCCAGTATGTGCAGTAGGATCAAAAACCCATTGCCATTGTTCTTGAGTTCTCAGTAGTCCTCATTGTCCGCTATGTTCAGTGAGTCCAGTTTTATCCCAGGTTTTTTCAGACCCAGGCCAGCTGGCCTTGGTGAGTTCCTGATAGAACATCCCCATTGTCTCAGTGTGTGGGTGCACCCCTCGTGGTCCTGAGTTCCTTGCTCGTGCTCTCTCTCCTTCTGCTCCTGATTTGGACCTTGGGATTTCTGTCCGGTGCTCCAATGTGGGACTCTGTCTCTGTATCCTTTCATCGCCTGATGAAGGTTAATATCCAGGAGGATGCCTATATGTTTTTCTTTGGGTTCACCTTCTTTTTTTTTTTTTTTTTTTTTTTTTTTTTTTTTTTTTTTTTTTTGGTTTTTCGAGACAGGGTTTCTCTGTGGCTTTGGAGCCTGTCCTGGAACTAGCTCTGTAGACCAGGCTGGTCTCGAACTCACAGAGATCCGCCTACCTCTGCCTCCCGAGTGCTGGGATTAAAGGCGTGCGCCACCATCGCCCGGCTTGGGTTCACCTTCTTATTTAGCTTCTCTAGGATCATGAATTATAGGCTCAATGTCCTTTATTTATGGCTAGAAACCAAATATGAGTGAGTACATCCCATGTTCCTCTTTTTTGAGTCTGGCTTACCTTACTCAGGATAGTGTTTTCTATTTCCGTCCTTTTGCATGCAAAGTTCTGCATTATACTTTTTTTTGTTTTGTTTTTTGTTTTTGTTTTTCGGGACAGGGTTTCTCTGTGGTTTTGGAGCCTGTCCTGAAACTAGCTCTTGTAGACCAGGCTGGTCTCGAACTCACAGAGATCCGCCTGCCTCTGCCTCCCGAGTGCTGAGATTAAAGGCATGCGCCACCACCGCCCGGCTCTGCATTATACTTTTAAAAACATATTGCGCTTGTAGTTCAGGTGGTTCAGTTTTGAATAAACTACATTTTTATTGGTATTATTTGGTAAAGAGCTTTTCTGACATAGTTAGGCAATAGAAACAATCAAAATATGATTTCTTTTGGTTTAAACAGATGCGTAGATAGTGATAACTGTTACAATGGATTTTCTTTGCCATCGCCACTCTTGACCACTTCATTACCGAAGATGAATCCTTTATCTTCACAGTCTTTCTCACTGCCTTTCTCTCTCTCTCTCTCTCTCTCTCTCTCTCTTGTTTTTATTATTATTACTGTTGGTGGTGAACTCTGCTAATAGGTTCCATTTACAAAGTCTCAGTGGTATGTAGTGAATTAGATCCAAAAAGCCTTGGGTGGAAAATTTCACTGACCACAATGAGTAACCTTTTGAAGTAGTTATTTAAAAGAAAAAACAAACTTCAATTCTGCTTGTTAGTAACTTCCACATCCACCCCCCCCCTTTTTTTAGTTAAATTATGCCATTATTTTTTGTTACTTGATTTTAGAAATTTATGATTTCCTCAAGTATAAAACTTGTTTTGGGTGCCAAGTAGCCAAAAATGCTTTCGTTTAATATAAATAAAAAGGCCTCTCATAGAGGAACACCCCCATAATTCTATCTCTTTGGAGTCAAGGATGAGGATCTTAAATTTTTTTTTTTTGCAAGTTTAGGTATAGGGTTTATTTAGGGGGTTATGGAGGGGAAAGGGAAGGGGAGAAGGGGAAAGAGGGGAGGAGAGATAGAGGCAGAAACTACCTCTCCAGAAGAAGGGCAGACAGACAGAGAGGAGGGGGAGAGAGAGGTGAGAGAGAGAGGAAGGGAGAGGGAGGATGAGGATCTTAAATTCTAAGCCAGCCTGGAATACAAACTGAGCCCTGTCCTGGCAAATCTTAATAAATAAATCCCACCCTTTACATCTTTGCATAATCTGCTTTATTCCTTTGAGACTGGAGGAAAGGAACTTAGTGTAATGTGTATTTGTAAGAAGAAAATCTGCTTTGCTCTCAAAAACTCTCCTTAGCATTTATGTATAAGCAATAGGAATAGTGTTTACACTGAATGGCTTCTTATGAATGCTTTCAATGTATTGCATAGTGGGTTTTTACATATTGATATATTTCTGCTTTCGTGTGACCTTCCTTTTCTATAGGACCTTGATTTTAGTGTTTTACACTGCACCGCTGCTGCAGGAGTGCTCCATACTAACTGGGGAATGATTTTTATACTTCTAGGATTACTATCATTCAATACTCGGACCTGCAAACATCAAAAAAGCTGTTGAAGAAGCTGAAAGACTCTCTGAGAGCCTCAAACTGAGGTACTGACATTACTATAAAATCTGCAAAAGAATGCAAATTAGAAGATAATACTGTGTAGGTTTGTTTTTTATATCTAACCAAACCTGTACTACTCCACTTCCTGGAAACAAGTTATGTTAACCAAAATACCAAACAAAATCATTTGCTATATTGCCCATATTGATATGGTATTATTAATATTCTTCATGAAGATTTTAGGTTTTTAATATAGCACTGATATTTTCTTTTTATTTTATTTTAATTTTTTTACGTTTATTTATTTATTAAAGATTTCTGTCTCTTCCCTGCCACCTCCTCCCATTTCCCTCAGCACTGATGTTTTACATTAAAAGTCATATCCATATTTTCATGTGTTATGGTATTTGTAATTTTTTTGACAAAATAAGATGATGATAGTTTTAATTTTTCATATACTACATGAGATCCTAGAAAATGCTATTGGATATAATTGTACAGAAATGAAGTGTTTACTCTTAGTTTTAATCTCCTCATAGTTGTAAAAGTTATATATGCTTAAAAGCAATCTAATTCCAGTACTTACCATGATTGTCTTACCAGTTTGTGAAAATTAGGACTATAGAGATGGCTGAGCAGTTAAGAGCACTTGCTGCTCTTTTAGAGAACTTGAGTTTGGGTCCCTGTGCCTACAATCTGATTGCTTGCAACCACCTGTAACTCTAGCTCCAGGGGATCTGATGTCCTTCTTGGCCTGCACAGGTACTTGCATGCATGTGACAGACATGCATATACAGAAATTAAAAGTATATGTATTTTTACATTACAAAGTGAAATCAGTCTGCTAGCCTGGAGAGAGGACCGAGCAGATGAGTTCTTGTTGCACAGTCATGAGGACCTGCGTTGAGATTCCGGCATCCACATAACAAGATTTCTTCTTTTGATTTTATGTGTGTCTTATCTGCATTTGTGTGCCATGTACATGCAATGCTTGCAAAGGCCAGAAGAGGGCATCAGGTTCCCTGAAACTGGGGTTAAAGTTTTTATAAGCTGCCTGCCATGTGGGTGCTGGGAACAGAACCTGGATCATAAGTAAGAGCCGTGAGTCATCTCTCCAGCCCCACTTTGATTCCTGTATATGTGCACTCACTCATGCTAGTACACTCTTGCTCTCTCGCGCGCTCTCTCTCTCTCATACAATAAATCCAAATAGCTTTTACAAAGAAAAAATGCTTTACTTTTTGTCATTCCTTAAATTTAACTTTTTGCACCTATGAACAGCATGCTACTGTAATACAGATCCTAGTAAAAATAAATTTCTACACATATGTAGAGCTTAGAAGTGTTGATGACTAACCTGATATCTCAGTGATACGATAGAGGCGGAAAGAACAGTGAAATTGGCATTATATAAAGTGACAGAAGCCACTAAAGCCTAGGTGCTAGAAAAGGCCAGGTTATGAGGCAAACAACACACAAGAAGAAGACAAGACTATATCAGGCTGACACATTTTTACACGAGTGTAAGTTGTTTTCAGTGAGTGGGTGGTTTTGTTGTTTCTGAGTTAGAGTTTCTCTTTGTAACCTACATTATCCACAAATTTATGATTCTCCTGCCTGAGGCTCATGAGTGCAAGGACAACAGGCATGTGTCACCACTATGCACAGCTGAAAATACTCTGGTTTTGTTGTTGTTTGTTTTGTTTTGTTTTTCAAAACAGGGTTTCTCTGTGTAACAGTCCTGACTATCCTTGCTTTATAGACCAGGCTGACCTCTGCCTCACTGCTGGGATTAAAGGGGTGCATCACCACTGCCTGGCTGAAAATCTCTTCTTAAAGGAATGCTTGAAGAATGTGTTTGTTGTTGTTTGAGCCTGGGAATCAGGCACAGGGTCTCACCCACGCCGTGCTAGCCCTCTACCACCCTCAGACCCTGAAACATACATGTTTTAAAAGACAATAAAAAATAGTTGAGCCCAGGTAGTTGAAATACAAAGGAATATTTATTTGCTTTTTATATCTTATTGCTTTGTAGTAAAAAGAGGAAAAATCTTTTGGTCGCTGAATTCGTCAGAAGGCAAATATGTGGTGATTCACATACATGCTATCCAGGTGAAAGAAGATCTTTCTTGTTGTTTTGTTTTTTGAGACAGGCTTTCTCTATGTAGCCTTGGCTGTCCTGGAACTCCCTCTGTAGACCAGGCTGGCTTTAAGCTCAGAGATCTGCCTGTGTCTGCCTCCTGAGTACTGGGATGAAGGTGTGTGCCACCACTGTTGGCGATCTCTTTTTTCCATCACTTTTCCTTGAGGAACTAACTCTCCACCAATTCATTGATAAGAGTAGTTTTTTTTTTTTTTTTACAGGTGATAGAATGGGCTGTTCAATTTAATAAGGTTCTTGGTATGGAATTTTCTCTAGGGCCTTCTAATTGTAAGGTTCTTCAGTGTGTTCAGTTTTCTTGTGGTGTAGATTACTTCCCAACTAACAGAAGAGACCCTTTCAGTTTGTCTTTTGCTGCCCCATGTTTGGTTTCTTTCATTGATGCTTATTAGCGTACGATACATTTGTCCTTACTGATTCTCTAGTCAAGTCAGTTCTTCCCCCTTTGAGAGTCTGAAATCTCTTCGATGTTAGGATTTCCCTCTTGTCAGACTAGCAGTCTGAGAAAGAGCAGTTCTGGGTTCTTGTGGGTTTTTTTAAATATGTAATTTATTTTTATTTTGTTTTGTTGGTGTTTTGCCTGCATATATGTCTGCGGGAGGGTGTCAGAAGCCCTGGAACTGGAGTTACAGACAAGTGTGAGCTGCTGTATAGGTACTGGCAATCGAATCTGGATCCTTTGGAAGAGCAGCCAGTGCTGTTAACCACTGAGCCATTTCTCTACACCCCATCTGGCTAGAATTTGGAATTTGGGAAGAATCATAACTTTAAGGTGAAAGTTTTGGACTCCTCAGCGTCCACTTTCTGCTAAATTACGCCCAGTCATTGGTATTGTGGATATATCAATCCACTGCTGGGGCAGACCAAGTTCCCAACTCCATAAAACACTAGAAAACACCCAATTAGTGCCTAGAAAACAAGTTACCTTGTGTTAGGTGTGACTTGTCAAACATATGTGTTCACCTATTCATGTTATGGGTGATCTTAGAATCCCAGCAAAAGGGATTATTCAGGCAGATTAAAGGAATCAGAGGTCAGTACCAGATGGAGCGCAAGCCTTGATCTCACTTCAGGCTACCCAAAGTAGAAACAGCATGAGATCTTTGTAAGTGTATTTACAGAGATCCATTGTAGTTTTGGAACAAATGGCAGATATGGTAAGGTGCAGATGACAGAAACAGCAGGAAAGTGAACCTTGAAATTTCTTCATCTCTACCTTCAAATGAAATTCTGCCTGGTGGTCTCTTTTGTTCTGTTTTATATTGGCAGTGCTAGGGAAAGAACTTAGGGCTTAGTGCATACTAGGCAAGCACTCTACCACTGAGGTACTTCCTAGCCCTTGAACTGTATTTCTTAGGGCAGACAGTTCCCATACTGTTAAGGTATAGCTTGCTACTAGAGAAGAGATCTGTAGCCTGAGTACATGTGCAGAGCCAGACTTCCTGGGTTCTTCTACTTACTCTTGTGTGCTACTAGGCAAGCTACTTTGTCTTCCTCTGCTTGTGTTTCTTCATCTTTAATTGGGATAAGAATAACTACCTGTGCTGGTTACTGTTAACTGTCAATTTACAGACTCTAGAATTACCTGGGATATAGCCTCCGAGCACATCTGTGGGAGAATCTTAATTGCATTGAGGTTAGAAGACTCACTGTCCATTCTAGGACAGGCAGAGCCGTTCCATGGCTGGGATCTTGACTGCATAAGTGGAAAAGCAGCTTGCATCATCTCTCTGCTTCTCATTGTGGATACAGTGTGATCAGCTGCTTCAGGCTCCTGCCACTCTGACCTTCTTACTGATGGAGCTGTGAGCTAGAGTCATTAAAAACCCTTTCTTAAGTCTCTTTAGTTCAGAGTATTTGAGCACAGCAACAAAAAAAGAAACTAAGTTTCTTAATGTAGTAAGCAAATGTAAGACTTGTTCTGTTAGACTGGTGCCTGGAGTAGGTTCTGCGAAAGTGTTCTCTGTTGCTGTTATTAACAGTAGAACCCGTCTTGGTCTGTGATGCCTTCCTTGATGGTCTTCTAATGGTTTGTGTTGAAGGGACTGGGTAGAACAGTTGCAATTTCAAGTCTTTTTTTTTTTTCTATTTTATGGAGGTAGAAGTAGATACTGGCACATTAAATTAGAACAGTCTGAGGTTGACTTTCCACTGAAGCAGTATATAGTGATGCTTGCTCTTCTTTCAGCAAGTTCTCAGCAATATGGTTGAGAAATAATGGGAATGAATAGACCAGTAAGCATGGTTCTGCCAGAGACTTGAGAATGCACTTATTTTTGTAGACATTTGCTTGTTGTTAAAGACAGAGGTCTCTAGCCCTAGCTGGCCTGGAATTCGCTATACAAATCAGGCTGCCCTGGTACTCTGTCGATGGAAATATCTGTCCCGCCTGGTCCCACAGCCATTCAGTCCCAAATAAACACACAGAGGCTTATATTAATTTTTTTTTTTTTTTGGTTTCTCGAGACAGGGTTTCTCTGTGGTTTTGGAGCCTGTCCTGGAACTGGTTCTTGTAGACCAGGCTGGTCTCGAACTCACAGAGATCTGCCTGCCTCTGCCTCCCGAGTGCTGGGATTAAAGGTGTGCGCCACCACCTGGCCCGGCGAGCCTCATATTAATTATAAGCTGTTTGGCCTATTGTTCAGTCTTATTGATAACTACCTCTTACAACTTAATTAGCCCATAATTCTTATCTGTGTTTAGCCATGTGGCTTGGTACCTTTTCTCAGCAAGGGATTTTCATCTTGCTTCCTCTGCTTCTGTCTGACGAGAGAGACTGCATCTCTGTGTTTCCTCTTCCCAGAATTCTCCTAATCTGGTTTCCCCTCCTATACTTCCTGCCTGGCTACTGGCCAATCAGCATTTTATTAAACCAATTTTAGCAACAAATCTATACAGTGTTCAAGAGCATCATCCCACAGCAGGACTCTACAGCATTCTCTCTCTGCTTCCTAAGTGCTAAGGTAAGAGGTATGCTTCACTATGTCAGCTAACATACTGAGTTTTATAAATCTGAGAGTGTATTGTTCTTCCAATTCACAAGCTATGTCATCTATTTTAACTATTTTTTAAATTGTCCTTTGACTTTTTAGAAGTATGGAACTTAATTTTCAAAGATGAAATTTTTCTGAGTATCTTACTGTTTTCTGTTTCAATTTCATCCTTGCTAGAGATATTTGGTCCTTAAACAACCTGTGTTTGAGGCTCTACATGCAGTCTTATTTGGCCAGTGTGCAGTGTATACTTGGAAAAAATGTGCAATGACTGCTGTGTACAATGTTCTCTGTGTGTGATTTTTCCATTTTTCATTACTACAACAAACTACCCGAAACCGGCTATTAAAAAGAGAGAGAGGTTTATTTGAGGCTAAAGGTAAAACTCTGATCACCTCCCAAAAGCCCTCCCTCTAAACATCAGAGTCACAGGAATTTTCTTCCATGTTAACCTCACAGTGGAAATACAATTTCAGCAGGAGTGTGATAGAGTATGGAAGGCGGGGATTGGTGTTAGAGGGTGTCAGACTTTGACATGGACCTTACTGACCTTACTCAAACCTTAGTACTGTTTGTCATTTAGGTCTCTGCTTTGTTGAATTCTGTTCAGCTCTTAGTGGTTCTCTGCCCCACCCCATTCCCTTAAGGATTTTTGGGCCTTGTGCTAGGCAACTGCTCTAACATGGAGATAAAGCCCAACACATACACACTTAGACATAGTCATTTGTTATGTTGTTTCCTTTTATTTGGCTTTGAATTTGTAGCCCTCCTGCCTCAGCCCCTCAGATAGCTCAGGGTACAGACCTGCATTTACAGATCTGGCTTAGCTGAGCCTTTTGTTAGTGCAGGTGGGGGTGATTTTGTTTTGTTTCATGGTGCTTATTTTGGCAGAAGTTGGATTGTAACACTTATTATGACAGGGTGCTAAAAATCTCTAAAATATTTATTTCTCCCTGTAATTCTTTGAGCTTTTGTATATTTTGAAGTTGTGTTTTTAGGCATTTATACGTTTACGGTTATCATAAATTCTTGGTATTTAGTCTCTGTCCTTTGAGACCAACCTTGCCCCTCTCCTTCATTACTTTTAGCCCACCTAGTATAATGAGATCCTACTTTTTCATTCATTCTGACAATCTCAGTACGTTTCCTCTGTTCATGCCTAGTCTAATTGTAGCACATGCTTTAGGGAAGTAGAAGAGGAAAGCACCCCTTCTCTACCTGCCTTTCCTTTCCTTTAGCTTCTGGTGCTCTCCATTGCTTCAAGGTGCACATTTCTGCCTTCCTGTGCTCTGAGAACTTGTCTAGCTTTTCCGGTAGTCCCATCTGTTAGGAACAAGTTCTTCACTCTCCTTATCTAGACATACTTTTATTTTTACTCCTGATTTTCATTTGCTTGTTTGTTTTGGCTGTAAGCATGTGTCTTTATGCTACAGCTTATGTATGGAGTGGTCCGAGGACAGCTTGTGGGAGTCATTCTTCATCCATCATGTGGAGACCAGGGATCAGACTCAGTTATCAGGACTTTCCAGCAAGCTCTTTTATCAACCAATCCATCTTGCTGGCCCTTGTCTTTAGTCTTAAAGAATGCTTTCTGAAGATTCCAAGTTGTACTTGTATTTGTTTTTTGTCTTTTGTCCTCTTTGGTAGCTCTTGCTAGCCTGGAACATTATGTAGACCAGGCTGGCCTCAAATTCACAGAGATCCACCTGCCTCTGCCTCTGGAGTGCTAGGATTAAAGGCGTGCACCTCCGTGCCCAGCTTCTGGTTGCCTCTATTGCTTCTGATGTGGAAACTCACAGCAGTCAGTCCTGTTATTAATTTATTGATGCTGTGCATTCTCTTTTTCTGACTTGAGAGTTTTCTCTCCAGTCTCAGTCTGATTATGATGTGACTACTATTGTTTTTCTTTGTATTTTTTCCATTTGGGCTTCACTGAGCTTTGAGTGTCTATAAATCTATGTCTTTTATCAAATTTGGGAGTTAGGGCTATTATTTCTTCAAATATTATTTATTCTGTTTCATTCTCTTGCTGGCACTCTGGCTATACATGTGTCTAAACCATTTTCTCGTTCTCTCTCTTCTTATATTGGAAAATTTCTATTCTTTAGGTACTGACTGTCATTTCCAATTTCAGGTAAGTTTCTTAGATACATTTTAATCCCAGAATTTCTGATTGGCTGTTTCATAGCATTTGCTTCTTCGAAGAGGTGTCCTATATGTTTAGTCACTACAAACCATTTTTCATTTTTTTATTGTTGGGAAGAGTTGGATAGCTACTTTTGGTTACTCTGTTCTGAATATGTTGTTGGTTTATCTCCTTCAATTTGTATCAATTGCTCTCTCTTTTTGGATAGCATGTTGAGTAACTTTGGATATGGTTGGCTATGCAGGCTCTCAGCCTTTGTTTTATTCCTTTGAAGAGTGTTGGAGTATTTTGTTTTGGGAGGGTGCTGCAGTTGGATTTTATAAACTGCCTGTCCTGCAGGACGTGTCTTTCCAGCTCTTCTCTTTCAGAGTTAGCTGGTTTCTCATTGTGTGCTCTATCCTTACTTATTGTGGGTGTTGGCTAGAGACATGGACAACTTTATGCAAAGAGACTGGAACTTTGACTTTCCATATTTAGGATTCCATTAGGAGTTTTAGCTGTTTCCAGTATATGAAGTCTTGACGTTAAGGATGAAACCATCAAAATCAGAGATCTTGACAGATGCTCTTCCCCTTCCCAGTTCAGCACCCTTCCTGTTCCTTGTCTCTGTGACTGTCCAGGGCTATATCTGTCTATGAGGATAGGTAGAATAAGCATGTAACAGAATACTAAAGTCAGTTGACTTATTCTTTACTAGCCGACCGGAGTCCATTATTACCCCTTTCTCCCTCCATTCTGTATTCTTCTCTCTCCCTTCCCCTTACCCCTATCTCTTGTCTCCTTCTCCCTCCATCCTCTTAAATTCAGACCCAGCAGGCATCACTATGATCACTAATGACAGGGTAAGCAAGTTTACAGGTCCTTGTTAGCAAATATTCCCAAAAGTACTGCTTCTAATTCTGTGGAGAGTAGTTCCAAATACCTTGTATTTCTGCAAATTGTGATCACCATAGCTGGATTAACTTCTAGCAAATTAGACATTTTGGTGAAGTCATCCTTTTTAAGACAATGATAGCAACTTTGATAGTAACTCTCCACTTGGTGTGGATTATATCATTTCTGAACACTTAATATTTTCATGTATATCATCACAGTTGTGATATTGGGATAATTTCTCTTGCAGAGAGCATCAAAAGTTTTGTGTTTTGAAAAGAAAATTGTAGCAGATTTGATAATTAAAAATTTGTAATTAGTGTAAAAGCAAAAGAAACATTAATAAAGAGAGCATAACATTCATTTTCAAGGCTTTTGTATAGTTTGACATAAGCATGCAGCCAGCCCTGAGAGCAGATGTGTGTAGTTTGTATGGGAACTGTAGCAGAATGCAGTTTCAGGTGGAAGGATAAGTTAAAAGCCACAAAGTAGCTGGGTAGTGGTGGCGCACGCCTTTAATCCCAGCACTCAGGAAGCAGAAGCAGGCAGATCTCTGTGAGTTCGAGGCCAACCTGGTCTACAGAGCAAGTTCCAGGTCAGGCACCAAAGCTGCACAGAGAAACCCTGTCTCAAAAAAACAAAAACAAAAAAAGCCATACAGTATGCCCAAGTCAGGATGCTAAGTGTATGAAACATGAACTCCCTTAACTATACTGTCATGTCAATAAAAGAATTCTTCTTTCGATTAGATATGAAGAGGCTGAAGTTCGGAAGAAACTCGAAGAAAAGGACAGACGGGAGGAAGAGCAGCTGCAACAGCAGAAAAGGCAGGAGGCGGGAAGAGAAGACAGTGGTGCGGTGGCCAAACGCTCTTTGGAGAATGTATCGGATTCCAAAAACAAAACCCAAAGGGTATTTCAAGTTTATTGTGTAAATCTGGTTCTGTTTGCCAGGTGACCTGCATTTAAGGAGTTGAGGAGCCATTGTAAAATTCTTTGAAGCAACAGGAATAACATTTCATGTGATTAATCAGAAACTGAGTGTGTCCCAGCAGTAGTTAGTTCTGGGTTTCCTGTTCTGGCCATCGTTAGAGTAGTGCCTGTAAACTAACGAGGGGGACGAGAGGCAGCCTTGATTAGGATCTGGTCCATCTGCGTTCTGGGCTCTGCTGAGCTTGCCTAACAACTCTCGGATTCAGTTTCCTTCAAACAGGATCCTGAGGTATCTTTTACCTCATAATGAAATCTACATTAAGAGAAGGACTTGGGCTAAGTGTAGGCCAGGCATGGTTGAGGCACACCTTTAATCCCAGAATTTGGGAGGCAGAGGCCAGAGGATCTCTTGAGTCTGAAGCCAGCCTGGTCTACAGAGAGAGTTCCGAGATAGCCAGGGCTACACAGAGAAACCGTATCCTGAAAAACCAAGAATAAATAAACTAAAAGAAGAGAGAAGGACTTGGTTTGATGCTTTATTTGGTCCCAGACAATTTTTGTTTGTGTCTGGAGTCTTATTCACTTCCTTCCTTCATTCCTTTCCCTATTCATTTTCCCTGTGCCTATCTCACTTTCTGCATTTCATTTAGTATTCTCAGCAATCAACAACTCTCCTTACCAAAAGCCACCAGCAGCTTAGTCTCTGCCAGCTGTCACTGTGCCTCTTTACTCTCAGAAATTACTCTTTGTAAAGCATAAATCTCTTCTGAATTGTTGGAATCCTCGGAAGCCTGCTGCTTTGCTTCCTCTGACCTCTTGTGCATTTTGTAGACATTTGTAGCAGCCCTGTCCCTTGTGTGTTGGTTACTGTTGCCATTTGGAAGATGCTTCACTGGGCTGGGCACTCTGGAAAGGTGAAAAAATGTTGGAATTCATGATGTGTGACAAAGCCACAACTTAGGAGATATTTGTCAACAGGTCAAGTGACTGCCATCACCAGATAACAGGACTTGAAAGATTGTATAAAGGGAACTTTTTCCTTTTGTTGACTTTGCAAAAGTGAGTAGTCACTTTTCTTTTTCAGTTGTGACCAGGTCTGTTGAAGCCCAGGCTAGCACAGATTCACTATGTAGGCAAGGCAGCCTTGAATTCCAGTTCTTCCTACCTCCACCTCCCTATTTCTAGGGTTAAAGGCCTTTGTAATCATACCCAGTTAACGGGATGCAGGGGCAAGCAAATGGCCAGCTGAGCCACAACTCCAGCTACATCTCTGTTCTTTTCACTTTAACCTTTGCCCTGCTGTTCCTGTCTCCTACACCTCTTCTTTTGCTTGAGTGTTTGAGAACAATCTCCAGCTGCTTTGCTACTTGACTGCTATCTATCCATCTCACATACTGCAGTTCTGTATCCCACCCAGAATATAACAGTAACTCCTCAGTGTTTCCTGGTACTCGGTCTATATCAGACTTTTCTACCTGTCTTAGCATAATTGATTTTCAAGTTGATTTGTTGAATCATGACGCTAAACAAGGAACTGTCTTTTCCTTGTTCTATGCCTTAAGGTTCTAAAATAATCCCTACTTGAGATTCATCTCCTTTGACTTTTCATACTGTGCACTTGGCTGGATTGAGACAGCGAACCACATTTTGTGTTGTTCCCCTGGTCTGTAGGTTTTCATTGTTTCCAGCATTGTCAGGAGAGGTGCAGTTTTGTTTCATGATAAGAATTCTCTGCAGATGGTACCTTGTGTTTCATATTGTGTCACACTAAGAGGCAGGTGATATACATAACTTGTGCAGATGTGCGCCTACAGGTGTGCTGCTAACTTGATCCATAGGTCCAGATGGGTCCTCAGTTTTCCCATCTGTAAAATGAACTCCCTTCCTATAGGGTCACCTCAAGTTGCTTTGGTTAGAAAATGTAAACTAAGTGGTATGTTGTATTACTTAATTTCCCTTTAATTTTATAGTGGAAAGCGCCGACTAGAATAGCTAGAATTGCTCTTTCATTTCAGAAGCTCTTTCTAATTAAGTACTACTTTTAAATTAGATGTGATACCTCCTTAAGAAAATTTGAGAATGAACAGTGATTCTGATACGCTGCTTTAGCGGCTGCCTAGTAAAAGAACACAGCAAAACCATTGTGTGTCTGAATTCTTGAGGGTGGAGGGCATCACTTTGAGGCAAGTGCTCTACTACTGAGCTTTATTCCTGTTTATCTGTGTTTTTATAAAGTGTCATTACTTGGTACACTGTATTTCTTAGTTTTCTATTGTAATTAAGTATTAAGTTTGAGTCTTTTTTTCCTATGAAATTGAAACTCTTTTCCTCTGTGAACTAGATCAATGGTGAGAAGAGTGAAAAAGGTGGAACTGCAGAGAAAGGTATGTGAGACAGGATGTCCTTTCAAGTTCTTGTGAGTTTCCTCAGTTTGATGCATGAGGGTCTCAGCACATGTGTGTTTTCCTGTACTCTACAAATACATTGAAATGCTGTAAGATCTGTATTGATTTACTGGGGGAGGGTGTTTTATGGTTATTTTAGCCTGGCATGATAAGCAGTTGTTTACTTATCTTCTTTTCTAGATGCAGTAGTTAAACTAATAGTGTTTGACAGGATGGACTCTCGGGAACTGCTCCTCAGTATCTTGATATACGATACTTACCATTTACCACTCTACCCCAGGTTACCCATCTGGAAAGTGGGGTTGCATTTTCTTTTCCTGTTGCTATAATAAAATACTCTAACAAACTGGGTGGTGGTGCATACCTTTAATCCCAGCACACTGGAGTGGATCTCTTTGAGTTTGAGGCCAGCCTGGTCTTCAGAGTGAGTTACAGGACAGTCAGGGCCACACAGAGAAACCCAGTCTCAAAAGTAAAATACCCTAACAAAAGCAACTTATGAGAAGAAGGTTTAGTTGTGGTTCAGTTCCAGGACACAGTCCACCACAGCGGGAAAGTCATGGTGTTGGGAGCTGAGGTATCTAGTCAGGAAGCAGAGGGAGATGACTGCTAGCTCTCACCCAAACAGGACCTCAGGCATGGAGCTGTGCCCCCCATGGTTAATATTACTGTCAAAGGTGTTGATAAGAGGTTCATAGTTAATTTCAGCTAATACATGTTGAACTTTCAGAATCCACAGTAAATTTAAGGGTTATTAGCTGTTATTATTTGTGACTCTACAGTTGTAAGAATTATTTAACAAGTGCCTTCACCTCCTGGGGGAAAAAAATCTGAACCTGTAATTTGTATGTATCCCTAGGTGGTCTTGATGATCTCATGATAAATATCTGACCTAGCAACAGGAGTTAGGAAGTTGACTTCATCTATTAGAGAAATTTTCTGCTCTTTCAGAAAGGATTAAAATTAAACAGTTATATGTAACACAAAACACTTATGTACTAAGCATACTATCATATAGTGATCTCAAAAGTAAACTAAGTAGTACAGGTGTAATAGCTCATGGTGCTTAGCTGTTATCCTTCTGGGTGACTTGTGTTCTCTGCTTATTTAGTCTGCTCATTATCAAATTGATCTTGATGGGTTGAGAGGAAGGAAGGAGGTTTTAGCAGCTGTTCATAAGATTACCTGTGTTTCTCACAACTGCAGAAACAGCCCTCTGTATCTAAAGTTGCTTGTGATGTTTTTTAAATTATTTATTTATTATGTATATGGTGTTCTGTCTGCATGTATGCCTGCAGGCCAGAAGAGGGCACCAGATCTCATTACAGATGGTTGTGAGCCACCATGCGGCTGCTGGGAGTTGAGCTCAGAACCTGTGGAAGAGCAGCCAGTGTTCTTAGCTGCTGAGCCATCTCTCCAGCCCCAGCTTATGATGGTTTTTGATCTTTCACTTCAAGTGATGGTCGATGGTAGGCACAATGGAACCAAACCCAGAGCTGAGCACAGCTAGGCAGACACTATTCCATCAAGCTATGTGTCCAGCCTGTGTATAAACAAGACATGGATTTGTCTCTTAGTAAATGTTAACACAAATTATTCTTAGTGTTCTTGTAAAAGATAAAACATGGTACGACAGGATGACAAGTCAGATGCTAAGTATACTTTGCTTTTCAAAGTTTGCTAACATGCCAGCACATGGAACTGGGTGTTTCTTGTTGTTTACTACTTGTCTCTCAATTCCAAGGAGCAATCACAGCAAAGGAGCTATATACAATGATGATGGATAAAAACATCAGCTTGATTATAATGGATGCTCGAAAAATACAGGATTATCAGCTTTCCTGTATCTCAGAGTCTCTCAGTGTTCCTGAAGAAGCTATCAGTCCAGGGTAGGTCACTATGTGTTTTGATAGAAATGGAGGAGGAGTGGATCTAGGGGAGAGGGAACGTGTTGTGCGGCTGCGAGTAGAGGAGGAAGGGGATGTAGTATATGAGAGAGCAATAAATTTTAAAAAATACAGCTGGGTGGTAGTGGTACACACCTTACATCCCAGCACTTGGGAGGCAAAAGTAGGCTGATATCTGAGTTCAAGGCCAAACTGTTCTACAGAGTGAGTTCCTGGATAGCCAGGGCTACACAGAGAAACCTTGTCTCAAAAAACAAAAATAAAAGAGAGAGTCAGGGTCCTGCTGTGCTAACAGGATGGCCTTGAATTTGTGACCCTTCCTTTTGGCCTCCCTAGTGTGTAAATGACTGTGCTTTGGTAATCTCCATTACTGTGCGTAGTGCACTGTGTTCATTCTCGTCGCTCCTTGTGTCCCTTTGTGTGACTACAGTATAATTTACTTACCCGTGTTATTTCTAGACTTGCCCTTTATATATTGGATTTGATAGTGCTTTTTCCATTTATACAGGGACATATGAATTTATTAAAATAAACAATATAATTAAATTTTTTTGATTATTAAGTTATATTTTAAATTAAATTATAGAACAAATTATGAAGATAATACATGACAAACTTAAATTTAGGAAACACTTGTTGATTCTGTTATTCCCCAATATGTGTTCACTAGAATGCCAATCCTAAAAGGAATTTGTAAGCAAATAAATGCCCCTTAAAAACCTCTCATTCCATTTGTTTCCATTCTTTTAGACCGTACGTTTTGATTTGTCTCTGTAAGGACAGCTAGGAGATGGTATTCTATATTAGCTCCTCTTCACTTCCCAGTAGATAAAGTAACTAGTGTTATTACTTAGGAAGAGGTTTGTTTTGTTTAATTCTTAGTCCACCATTTTGATTTATGTGCGGATAAAGGTTTCACCACTCAGCTTGCTAGTATTATCAGTTAAATACTGAAATGCCTGCTAAATGCTGAATGGTTTCTAAGCACTGGCACCTTTTACCAAAGGAATGGGTCTGTTATTCTGTCATTCAGCAAATATTTACCGAGAGGTACGCTGGGTTACTAGGCTTCTCAGTGATGAGAATTAATCAGTGAACAGATAGAAGTTGTTGTCTTTGTAAAGCTTTAATTAAATAAGCAGTTAAGATAAGAAAAACAATAAAAATTAAAAATATAATGTTCTTTATGTTAATAAGTAAGGTGTGGTAGGTGGGTATATATTGGGATGTGTGGGTGTGTCTGTCTGTCTTGGAGTAGACCCTAAAATTTAGTTCCAGGAAGACTCAGAGAAAAGTTCTTACTTAACAGGTGTTAAATATGTAGGGGAAATGGTGGTGCACATTCTGAGGTCAGGCATGGGGAGCAAACAGAGAATACAGCAACAATAGAAACCCCTAGGCAGGATCACTGAATGAGTCAAGAATCAAAGGTCAGTGACTGGTGTGGATGAGCAGAGGGGCAAGCAGTTAAAGAAGAGAAGGGAGCAGTAAGAGGATTGGGGTCTGTGTCACGGGCCATGTTAAGGATGTGTGTGAGCTTCCATATGAGCAAAGGGGTAGCAGAACACTCTCCTGGGTAGTTGAGAACATGCTGATGGAAGGATGTGAGTGTAGACCTGAGCTGTGAAGGTGGCAGTAATGTCTCCTGGTGTACTGCTGTGAGGATTCAATAAGGTCCAAAGCATGCAGAGCAGTACCTGACACTGTCAGCGTGTGTGTGCTTGCTAATTAAATTAAATCTTGCTGTTTAGCTATTATATGTTTAGGAAGAAGTGAGCTTAAATATGAGTAATGTTGCTAAGGTGATTTGGCGAAGGAAATTGTCTGGATGATTTCCTGTTTCAGTTTTGTGCCCCCTCTCCATTTTTTTTAAAAGCGGTCAGAATTAAGTCTGTTTTTTTCCTTCCCTAATAATTACTAAAAAGCACTAGCGTGCAGTAACGAAGGGGTGGAGTAAAGTTTGTACTGGTGTGGCAGAGTACAAGGCTCATTTCTCCCCTTTGCCTCAGTACAAATGTTCATTCATTTTAGAGTCACTGCCAGCTGGATTGAAGCAAACCTCTCAGATGACTCTAAAGACACTTGGAAAAAGAGGGGGAGTGTGGACTATGTGGTGCTGCTCGACTGGTTCAGTTCAGCAAAAGATTTGCAGCTTGGAACCACACTGCGGAGTCTGAAGGACGCACTTTTCAAGGTTGGCAGCTCCCCTCGCTACTCTGACAAGCTCTGTCTGATTGTTGGGTAATTGTGGAGACTGGTTTTGACTGGCTCCGCTAGACTTTTAAACCGACTGTTCACCTGGGAAGTTGTATTCAGTAACCACCTTAGAGGTGAACATCTAATATTGAAAGTCATAAGGTGTTCTTGAACCAAGACTCAGCTACTCCAAGTTTGGAAATTTTATTAAGGGGTTTGGGATGTGTGCTTATCTTTGGGTGTTTATTCCAGCATTGGGGGTATCTGTACATACATACATACACACACACACAGTAGTAATCATTATAAATGATACAACTGTTATTGACATTCATGTAAAAGAAAAAGCTGCAAATTAAGAGTTTCATCATCTTATAAAATGCATTTTGAAACGTGGAATGTACATGGAGACTAGGAACTAACTCCAGAATGTTAGGGAGTGTCTCTGGGTGGTCAGGTTTTAACGTAGTTTTGTCTTGGATTTGTTCTATTACTTTCCTTCTAAGATCACAGGTTGTTTCTTGGTTCTTAAAACTTGTGTTGATTTATACCTAATACTTCATTTAAAGTTGGAGTTTGAATTTAATTATTCTTTGTTTTCATTTTGCAGTAGTTCTACATTTTGTTTGTTGTGGGTTGTGATTTTTGCTGTCGAGACTGCTACCATCTTACAAATATTCTGTCTTTATTCTGTAGTGGGAAAGTAAAACTGTCCTGCGCCACGAGCCTCTGGTGTTGGAGGGGGGCTATGAAAACTGGCTCCTTTGCTATCCGCAGTATACAACAAATGCTAAGGTCACTCCACCCCCTCGAAGCAAAACTGAAGAGGTGTCTGTCTCATGTATGTATGTGAAAATTTTGTTTAAAACTGCTTCAGTACAGAATAAAACATTTATATGTTCAGGGTAACCTTGTTTGTATATGCCTTTGTCCTGTTAATACTAGTTTGTTTTCAGGCAAAATAGTACAGACTAGGATTCATGTTTTAAGACTGTGGTGATTGCCATTCATTCACATTTAGCTATCACAAAGAACATGTATAACATAAATATTGTGTTGGAGTTTGCTGTTCTTAAAAACGATGCATTTTTCTTTTGGGGATTTTAGTGGATTTTACTTATCCCTCACTGGAAGAACCAGTTCCTCCCAAACTTCCTGCCCAGATGTCTCCTTTACCTATAGAAGTAGATGAAAATGCAGAATTGGTAACTGGTCAAGATGAAAAACCAAGACCACAGAACTTGTCAGCTCTCGCCGGACCCAGTGCCGCTCCCAAAGCCGAAGCTTCACCCATAATTCAGCCCGTGCCTGCTGCAAAGACTATCCCACAGGTATGCTCTTCTTTTTCTTTCAGCTAACTTTACTATTTTTTTGTTTTGATACCATATTGACACATAACATACAGGGTTTTATCTGTGACCTGTGACCCCTTGGGAAACATCAGAAGGATCTGTATATCTTGTCACCTTTATTTTTCCTAAAAGTTTTTATAATCCATCCCTGTGGCCATGGCTTTATTAGATCACTTACAAGATTTCTGATCAGCTGGTGGCCATTTCCTACACCCTGTAGCAAAGGCTTGCTTTCAGAAGTGAGCTGAAGAGCTCAGCTGGTTACACTGCAGTGATCTGACCAGCACAGCTATCCTGACGAAGCTAGCAAATGATCAGTCCCTCTTACAGATGGTCTGGAGTCCACACGTAGCCCACACGCCACACAGAGTTTGTCCTCTCTGCATTCCTTCTGATAGCTGCTGTGCAGCACTGTTGGGAGAGTAATGCTGAGGAGAGTTCCCCCACATGCTTAGGCAGGAACACATTTTTCAAACAAAACATTTCCGCGTGGAACCCATCACTTTGGCGTGTGAACCTGTCAGTATGAAGGATATTTTGCCTGCTTTTGCATAAGAGAAACGTGAGTTGTCAGTATTTTGGTTTTAAAGCATCATTTTAGTTCCATTTCATTGCAATTTGAAATGTTAACAATAGTTATTTAAGGGGGTAGGAGAGATGGCTCAGTGGTTAAGAACATTGCCTGCTCTTCCAAAGGTCCTGAGTTCAATTCCCGGCAACCACATGGTGGCTCACAACCATCTGTAATGAGGTCTGGTGCCCTCTTCTGGCCTGCAGGCATACACACAGACAGAATATTGTATACATAATAAATAAATATTTAAAAAAATAGTTATTTAAATATAAATAACAAATAGTTATTAAAGGTGGTGGGCTTTAATCCCAGCACTCGGAAGGCAGAGGCAGGCGGATCTCTGTGTGTTCAAGGCCAGCCTGGTCTACAGATCTATTTCCAGGACAACTAGAATCTCCTGAAGGTTGTTAGAGCGGTGTTAGAGCAGCCAAAGCAGGTCTTAACACCTACATTCCAGGAATAGGGCTGCGGAGAGCTCAGTCGGTAAAGCACCTGCTGTGCAGCGTGAGAGCCGAGTCCAGAGCCCAGTGCCCACAACAGAGCCACATGCAATATCACACACCTGGAATCCCACCCTGATCAGTGAGCTCCAGGTTTAATGAAAGGCCCATCTCAGAAAGTAAAGATGGAGGACCAACAAGATGGCTCAGCAGCTAAAGATGACTGAGTTTGATCCCTGGGACCCGTGTAGTAGAAGGAGAGAACCAACTCCCGCAGATTATCCTCTGACGCCCCCCTCAAAAATTAAATAAATAATTACATAAAATTAATAATAGCATTGGAGGGGCTGGAGAGATGGCTCAGTGGTTAAGAGCATTGCCTGCTCTTCCAAAGGTCCTGAGTTCAATTCCCAGCAACCACATGATGGCTCACTACCATCTGAAATGAGATCTGGTGCCCTCTTCTGGCCTGCAGGCAGACACACAAACAGAATATTGTATACATAATAAATAAATATTTAAAAAAATAATAATAGCATTGAAAAAATAGAATAGTAAGGTGAAAAAGAGGGCTAGTGAGACCTAGTGCTGTGAGTTCAGCCTCTGGATCTTACAAGATGACATAGGAGACCTAACCTCTCAGAGTTGTCTTGACCACACTTGACTGCACTCACATGCACACACACTAAACAAAATGTTTTCATATTAAAGAATGGAAAGTAGGCCAGGCAGTGGTCGTGTACACATTTATTCCCAGCACTTGGCAGGTAGATCTTTGTGTGTTTGAGGCCAGCCTGGTCTACAAAGTGAATTCCAGGACATTTGCACAGAGAAACCCTGTCTCAAAAACAAAACAAACAAAAAGAATGAAAAGTAGACAGGCCATGGTAAAATGTTTATTTTATTTATTCATTTTGTGCTTGAGTGTATGTGTGTACACTACAGCCTAAGTACAATGAGTAACACTGTAAAGTAGGGTTTTATTAAACAAGAGATACGTGTGTTGACAGAGGTTTCTGTCCCTCCTGTCCTGCAGCCGTTCAGTCCCAAAGAAACACATAGAGGACTACATTAAGTATAAACTGGTTGGCCTATTAGTTCAGTTTTCTTATTAACTAACTTTTACATCTTAACTCATAATTCTTGTCTATGCTAGCCATGTGGCTTGATACCTTTCATCAGTGAGGCATTCTCCTCTTGCTTTCTCTGCATCTGGATCACGGGTGTAGCCCGAGCCTTTCCTCATCCCAGGATTCTACTGTTCTGGTTACCCCTCCTATACTTCCTGCCTGGCTACTGGCCAATCAGTGTTTTATTAAACCAATACAAGTGACAAATCTTGCAAAGTACAAGACCACTGTTCCATAGCAAACATGGTCAGATTTCTTTGAAAAAGATTACTTGGGCGGGTGACTGGCTGGGCAGGTGAAGGCACTGGCCACATAAACCTGAACTTGAGTTTGATCCCTGGAAAGGATTCCATAAAGGTAGGAGGAAAGAGCCAACTCTGTAGTAATACGAGTGGCTGAGCTGCATTCCCAGCACCCCGGCCGCCTGGCTAGCTTATGCCCCGAAATAATTACATGGACACTGTATTCTTTTAATCACTGCTTGGCCCATTTCTATCTAGCCTCTTCTAGGCTAACTCTCGCACCTGGACTAGCCCATTTCTAATATTCTATGTAGCACAGCTAGGTGCGCTTACCGGGAAGATTCTAGCCTACGTCCATCCTGGATCGGAGCTTCATTGCGTGTGTCTGCCCAGGAGCCGGGAGCATGGCGTCTCTGCTCCAGAGAGCAGAGCTGTCCGTCTGGGCTCACTTCCTCTTCCTCCCAGCATTCTGTTCTGTTTACTCCACCCACCTATGTTCTAAGCTATGAGGCCAAGCAGTTTGTTTATTAACCAATGAAATCAACAGATTGATATATGACACTCCCACATCACAACTCCACAGAATTGTCCTTTAACTGTCACATGTATGCTGGGCATATGCGATGTGCCCACATATCACACTATATGCACACATAATTTGTGAAATGATCACTCTCATCACAGTGTAGGGAAGTAACTAGAAATGGAGGGAAACAGGCGAGCAGGCAGTGGGAGGCTGTGCTGGAGTTCTGGGGAGAGAATGATCTTGGTATAGGCTTCTGGGTAGTCACAGAGATGGGTATACAGCCATGTGCAGTTTCACCAGGCAGCAGAAAACTGGGAAGAACATGGCCTAAAACTATTAGCTGACTGCTTTTACAGCTGTTTGGAGAGTGAAGGGAAGCTCCATGTTTGTGAGCATCATACATTTATTTTTGGCCATGTTGTGTGTGAGGTATTATTGGCTACTTATGTGGAGATGGGCAGGGGTAGTTGGCTGTGTAGGAATGGAGTGCCAATCTCCTCTGTCAGGTCTAGGTACCATAGTTGAACTTTAAGACATATGTAACTCTTCTGAACCAGAATGCTCATTGCAAACTAAAACTGAAATAATACTCTTATATTTGCTGAGGTAGGAGAATTGTGGGTTTGAAGCCAACTTGACCTATGTGCAAGACCTTGCCTCAAAACCAAGACACAAAAAGCACGCTTTGTTCTGTTTTCGTTTCTCTAAGGTTGATCGTACGAAAAAACCAGCAGTGAAATTGCCTGAAGATCATAGAATAAAATCTGAGAATACAGATCAGAGTGGAAGAGTTCTTCCTGATCGTTCCACCAAACCAGTATTTCCTCCTCCGACTGCCATGTTAACAGATGAAGAAAAAGCCCGTATTCATAAAGAAACCGCCCTTCTCATGGAGAAAAACAAGCAGGAGAGGGAACTTTGGGAAAGGCAGCAGAAGGAGCAGAAAGAGAAGCTAAGGGGGGAGGAACAAGAGCGCAAAGCTGGAAAGACACAGGACTTGGAAGAACATGACATCAGTGAGACCCAACCCAAAGCCAAGGACGAGCTGGAGAAGAGAGACAGCAAACAGACCAAGCTGGAAGAAAAAGAGCCCTTAGCAGACAGGGGCCAGGAAGCCACAGGGACGAAAAGACAAAGTAAAAGTGAACACGAGGCTTCTGATGCCAAGATGTCTGTGGAAGGTAAAAGGTGTCCCACATCAGGAGTGCAGAAGAGGCCACCAGATGTGTCCCCTGCATCCATGTCAGGAGAGCTGAGTGCAAGCAAGGTAGGTAAAACTGAAGGTAAATGTGTTTACGATGGGGTACAGTGGCCTTCCACAGACAGGGCAGGCATATTGCTCTAGAGGGTGAGAGATTGTCCTGAGCTATTGGTATTTGCTTCCCTGCACTCTTTTGAGACCTGTGGTGATGTACATTAAGTGACTGGTTGGCAATAGGATTTTTTTTGTTGGTAAAATGCTGTACCTAGTTTCTGCTAGATTTAGCTATATTTGTTTCTGTGTTGGTGTGTAACCATCAAAAGTACTAGGATGAAATACAATCTCATGACAGAGAAGGTGCCAAAAGTTAAGTTTTAGTTTTTGTCTACTTAGAATGTGTAGTCAGCCGGGTGGTGGTATCGTAGCTTTGGAGCGTGTCCTGGAACTCTCTGTAGACCATAACTCACAGAAATCTACCTGCCTCAAAAAAAGAAAGAAAAAAAATCCTCCTGCCTCTGCCACCGAGTGCTGGTATTAAAGTTGTGCACCACCACCGCTCAGCTCAGGTGAGGAACTCAAGGAAGTCTTACAAACAAAAATGTCTCTAAAGTTAGAAGCAGTCAATATGGAGGTTGTTACTTCAGTGTATTGACATGTATGTACTTATATATAACGCTTCATTATTTTTGTAAAATGGATATAAAAGCTATGTTAGGAGGGAAGATGGTTTAGAATAGGCCATGAGATAATCATCTGGTAGGTTTCCTTATTTGGCTCCACTGCTCTTTCTCCCCACTACCACAGAGAGCCACCTCCCCACCCTGTAATGCACTCACCACCAGGCTCATGTGCACACTCAGTGCAACCATTGCAAAGTAACAACTCTGTCGGAGATTACCTGTCCTCTTCTCCTCCTCGCCAGCAGCTGGAGTCACGGTCACTGCTTCCCGATGACCTCTCGGCTTCCTTTGGAAAACTAGAAATATTACTTCAGTTTTCCTTTGATTTCACACTCTTGTAACCCTTAGCATAGTAGACTTTGAGAAATACAAAACTGCCTTCTTCTTGACTCTGCCTTAAAAATATGAAAGGCAATCAAGACTGGTTTTTTGGGGGGGGATTTCTTTTTATTCTTCAGTGTAAGTTTGTGAATGGAAACTTTTAATTGGAAAGTCAGATTATTGTTTTTCAAACTAGGCTCAACGAGAACCTTTGACAAGAGCACGAAGTGAAGAAATGGGGAGAATTGTACCAGGGCTGCCTTCCGGCTGGGCCAAGGTAAAGTCAGAGTTCTAAACTGAAATACAAGTTACTTTGTTTTAAAAAGTACTATGCTCTAGTTGTCAACTCTGCTCTGTTATAGAGAATATGAGCTCTTCCCCCTGTCTGCTGCAAGGAGACATCTCTTAATACACATCCTCAGGTGCTGGCTGTCACATACGAGCACCTGACAGTAGAATTTTGAAATATAGTATTCCATAAAAGCAAACCTAAATTTCTTTGGAAGTTTACAAAGTGATTGCTGTTCTTATTCAAATTAGTTTAGGGACTAAAGTAATTGATCGAGTTTGTGCTTAGAAAATTAAAGGCCCCAGCTTTAATCCTTAGAACAAACACATTTTTTTTTTTACACATTTTAATCCAAAAGTAAATGCTGCAGTGGGGGTGGCGCTCTAATGACTTCGGTACTTATCTGATTTTTTTATTATTATTATTTTCATTTTTCTTTTCCAAGTTTCTTGATCCAATCACTGGAACCTTCCGTTACTATCATTCACCCACCAACACGGTTCACATGTACCCACCTGAAATGGCCCCTTCGTCTGCTCCGCCTTCCACCCCTCCTACACACAAAGTCAAGCCCCAGACCCCAGCTGAGCGGGACAGGGAGCCATCCAAACTGAAGCGCTCCTACTCCTCCCCGGACATCACTCAGGCCCTGCAGGAGGAGGAAAAGAGGAGGCCAGCTGTGACCCCAGCAGTCAACCGGGAAAACAAGTAAGTTCTCCCAGTTCTAGAACTAGACAATGCTATCTCCATGTCACCATCTAAGAGTTACAGTCTCAGGGCTCTGTTGTTATGATGGAACAAAAAATAAGAAACAATGAGATGTCCTCAGCTTTCCCCCAATGCTAACTTAATTCGTTAAGAATGAATTTTATATTGATGCAGACATGAAAGTGTCACATACATTGTTACAGCGCTTTCTCATTATCATGCCCCAGGCCTCCTCTCATCTTTCATGGATCACAATTAATTTTTAATTTTACTAAAGAAAGTGTGTGTGTGTGAGAGAGAGATTTCAGCTCTCTCATCTACCATGTGGATCTTGAGGATTGAACTCAGGTCATCAGGCTTGGTAGCAAGTGCCTTTACCACTGTGCTGTCTCACCACTCAAGAATGGGCAGTGTTACAGTACTCAATTTCCAGCCTTCGTTTCTCTCAACCAGTCATGGAAGAGTTCAGTCTTCTATCTGTAAAAATGCAGGTACCATAATGCCTCCTTTCCTCTGTCCCATTTTTCCTTTCCTGTTCTCATCTCTGCTCACAGGGTGACCAGCTGGTTTAAGTTTCTCAAAGTAGCACATCATTTACTTGTGTTTCCCTCGTCACTTTGGGGATGGTGAAAATGCAACTGGCCCTCAATGTCCTTGGTTTTTGGGCTGGGGTATAGCTCAGTACAGAATGCTTGCTTAACATACCCAAATCCTGGGTTTGTTCCCAAACCAGCCATGGGGAGGTACACCTATAAGAATAACACTCAGGAAATGGAGACAGGAGGGGTAGAAGTTCAAGGTCATCCTCAGCCATATAACAAGTTTGAGGCCACCCTGGGCTATGTGAGACCCTGCCTCAAACAACAAAAGCAAGAACATGTTGAGTAGTTTCTACATCTAAGGGCTTAACCAATAAGGGATCAAAAATAATTGGGGGTGGGGGCTATAGAAGAACTGAACACAAATAGATGTTTATCTTTATCATTTTTAACACAGCTTAACAGCTGTTTACATTGTATCAGGTGTGATGAACAATCAGAAGTGGTTTAAAGGAGACAGGAAGGTGTGCACAGGTCAATGCAGAAAGCATAGCGTTTCACTCAGGCATGGACTAGCCTTGCATACTGTTACTTTAGGGGTCTTGGATACTGGTTTGGTGTATGTATAAGTAAGTGACTTGGGGTTTTTCGTGTATTATATATTATTTGTTAATTACTAAGAATTTTCAATTTATTTTTTTCTGACACATCCCAAGGAAATAGTTAATCAGTTTTCTGAGACTTCATTTTGCCAGAGAGAGACCTATTTGAAAGAGCTTTTGGAATTAATACAATTCAGATGTGTTAGAAATCTTTACATCATAATGTTATTAAAGTTCATTAATTTGGCAATGGTTGAAGCTATCTATATATAGTTCATGTATTTTTTCTTAAAAAAAAATACAGGAACAGAGAAAGATCATGTAGGGAAAATTGGGATAGTTTGGTGTGTTTTTCCATATTCCCCTCATGGGTAGGGAACACATTGTGGGGATCAGCCAGACAAGGGACCATCCTCTAGTCAGGTTCCCTTCACTACAGCGCTCTGGACACATGCGCAGGACCCAGGGAGCATCTCCAGCCCAGCAGATGCCTCTTTCAGTCCAGAATGGCTTTAATTTTTAATTAAGTATGGCCGTCATGTGTGACTTATTGGCTGGAGGCATAGTTAGGTACCCAGAAGATCTCTGCCTCATTTGAGGACTGTTTTATGATTAGCATATACTTTCATCTTATGTATGATTTTATTTAGACAAGTGTAAATATCTGCTTCTTTATTTTTTTAAATATTTATTTTTATGTGTGGGGTGTTTTGTGACATGTATGTCTGTGTACCGTGTATATGCCCAATGTCCTTGGAGACCAGAAGAGGGCATCAGGTCTCCCAAACTAAGAGTTACAGGTGATTGTGATCCACCATGTGGGTGCTGAGAATCAAACCCAGATCTACTGGCAGAGCAGCAGTGCTCATAATCACACTGCGCTATCTCTCCAGCTCCCTCTTTAGTTCTTAAATGTATCATATCTACTACAGTGAAAATGCTGTGCAGATATGAAATACAATATTGAGAAAAGGTTTGCACACACTTAATTCAAATACTTTCCTACCCTCCTCATCCCAAACTCCCAGTCTCCTCTGCTTCCTCTGCCTCCAGCAATCCTTTCGTATCTCATGTGTTCTGTTACTCTCCCCAACCTCATTTTCTTAAAGTTTCTTTTTTCTTGTTTAGTGGGTTTCTTTTATTGCCACTTAAATATACTATTTAATGTTTAGCAGCTGTGATCTATATATGAGAGAACATACTACATATTTGTCCTTCTGTAATTAATATATAATTTATCAGTACATAAGATTTTATTGTATTTAATTCTCTCATGTTCTAGTTAAGACTATTTCATAATGCTAACCTCTCAGGGCTAGTTGGAGAAGTCTGAAAGAGCTTTCCCCCATTGGAAAGTAACTCAGGACTAGCTAGAGGACCTCTCTCAAGTCACTCTAGATCCAGGAACTCTCACAAGAGAAGTTGTGGGCATGTATTTCATGGGAGGATCCTGGAACATAGAGTTAGCCTCATGCTAAATGTCTTAGAGAACACATCAGGTTAGCGTGTGGATTGTAAACTGCCACCTTCAGTGTGGACTCCAGCTGAGATGCTCTGTATAAGGCATCTTGTTCTTTCTCCCTTAGGCCTAAGGCTGAGATCTCAAGACTTTCTGCTTCTCAGATTCGGAACCTCAATCCTGTTTTTGGAGGATCTGGACCAGCTCTTACTGGACTTCGTAATTTGGGAAACACTTGTTACATGAACTCAATACTGCAGTGCCTGTGTAATGCTCCACATTTGGCTGATTATTTCAACCGGAACTGCTATCAGGATGATATCAACAGGTAAAGGAACATTTCGCTGCTGCATTACACTGTTGAAAAGGGAATCCAACCGTAATTTCTATCTGTCGTACTCTGTTTTGTACTGCTATAACAACCCAAGACTAGGTAATCTTTTTTCTTTTTAAGAAAAGAATTTTAATTTTAAAATTTTATTTGTGTATCTGAATGAATATGCACAAACTAGAGCACACATGTGGAGGTCAGAGGACAACTTTCAGGAATCGATTCCCTCTAGTGTAGGTTCCAGGATCAAGTCATGTCAGCTCACATGGTGGGAACCTTTACCTCCTGGGCTTACTTACTCATAGGTCCAGAGAGAGAATCCAAGATGAGCATTGTGCTGTTCCAGTGTAGTAGGAGATGGAAGGGCACCGGGAAAGCCCCTTCATTATGCCCCTTTTCAGCAAACCCAATCCCAATCACTACGTCATGTTCTTGCCTGTCACCTCTCAGAGCCCTATTTTTTTTTCTTTTTAACTGTATATTTATGCATGTGTCTTTAGCAGTATGTGCACATGCAAGTGTAGGTATCTGAGGAGTCCAGAAGAGAACGCCAGATCCCCTGGGACTAGAGTTACGGATAATTGTGAGCCACCGTCTGGCTCCTAGGAATCAAACCTGGTTTTCTGCATGAGCAACAATTCCTCTTAACAGTCTCCAGTCCCGCAAAGGGCCTTTTCCAGTCTATGTGCAATACTAAATTTTGAAAGGACGTACTCAGACTGTAGCACTTGCCACTCAGCTTCAGAGGAGTTAAGTTAGTAAAAGAAAATTCTCTTTATCTGCAAGAATGCTGGATAGTTATCTCAGGTCTGGTCATAAAGGACAAACAAGATGGCAGACACTGTCAGGGTTACAGCTTCCATCTTTGACTGCAGCCTGTTGATGAGTGTGAGGAGCAGGGCTTGCAGCCAGGATAAGGAAACGATTTGGAGGACCACAGCAAAGTCAGGTTCAGACGTGTTTGATCCATGCCTGCAGGTGAGTGATTCCTTTGTGTGTTATGCGTGTAATTTTGTGCTGATATCAAGAACCCACTATAACTTAAAACCTTTTCCTTTATTTATCTTTGGTGACTTTATTTGCACAGGTCAAATTTGCTGGGGCACAAGGGTGAAGTGGCAGAAGAATTTGGTATCATCATGAAAGCGCTGTGGACAGGACAGTACAGATACATCAGTCCCAAAGACTTCAAAGTCACCATCGGGAAGATTAACGACCAGTTTGCAGGATCCAGCCAGCAAGATTCCCAGGAACTGCTTCTGTTCCTCATGGATGGCCTCCATGAGGATCTAAATAAGGTAAGGATTGGCTGTCTGCAGCTCCGTTTGCTTCCATCCTCGTAGCAGCTCAAATCCCCGTTCACCAGCGGTCCTTCCTAGACAGCGACCATACTGAGCATGTCTGCTGAGTTCCCCAGAAAAAGCTGAATGTTTGCATTTACAGAATGAGACATGCTGGGACTGGAACCCTGGTCTCAACATAAAACTTATTTTTATTTTCTATATATGTGTTTCCTGAACTAAATTTTTTACAATACTTTTTGAATAATTATTTTTTAATGTTTTTTTTTCTCATGGAGTATAATTTTCTACTTGTGGCTGCATGCCATGTGTTTTGGATTCTTAGATCAGGATTGTGCAATCTGGATTTGAAAAGTAGTGTGTGGTCATTTACTCAAGTACCAATAGGAAGTACTGAACAATTTACAGGTGGTAAAGTAGCTGTTGGAGGTGTTCTTGTCACCCTCACGCTTATGAAAGCAACGTCCTGGTTTTATTAACTGTAGTCTGAACATCTTTGTTCTTTATATATTAGTACATTTTTATGTGTTGTGTGTGTTATACTCTGATGTTCTAAGACTTACCTTCTAAAATAAGAATTGCTCCATGTCAGCAGGTGGTGCGGGTAAATAGCTTTCATTAAGCAGTATCTTGACATAAGGACCGCCTCCATCTGTACACAGCTGCTCTTAGCACCAAGTGTCACCTGTTTCTTCAGAAAAGCCTTTAAGGTCATAGTTCTCAACTAACACGAGTATAAAAATTCAAGCTATTGTGATGCTCACACCTAAGTCCAGCACTCAGGAGGCTGAGGGAGGAAGATGGTTACTTCAGGGACAGCCTGGGCTACATAGATTGTCTCAAGGGGTCAGGTGTAGGTAAATTCATGAGCCTCTAACAGTGAAATTGCGCCTGTTGAATTTTAACCCTAATGCCTAGTTACATGAAACATCATCTTTCAGTTCAATGCTTTGGGGCTAGCAAGATGGCTCAGCCTTGTGTAAGAGTGCTGGCAAAGCCAAGCCTGGTGGCCTCAGTTTGCTCCTCAAACAAAAGTAATGGAGGCAAAAGAGACCCAGCTTCACAGAACTGACTCCCTCATGCACCTCGACACATGTGCCCGTACACATATCATACACACATGCACCCTCAATAGTAACAGTGAAATCTTAAAAAATGGCATTGACTTAAAACGCTATCAACTTATATTATGTATAAATACATGGACCTATTTCAAGCATTTCTGTGCCCCCTTACTCTGTCTTCCCCGCCTCCAACTCCGGCTAATTGCCTTCCTCTCTTCATACCTTTTTTCCCCTATAACTCAGTGAGTTTCATTAGTGGTACAGAAGACTGTGCGAGGTTTGTTTACTAGAACATGTGTACCTTATCAGTAGTATGTCACTGAAGGAAATATCTCTCCTTGCTTCATCAGTCAGTCATTATAACTCCTTAGAGTCGTGGGACACATGAGCACCTTTCCCTTCCATGGTACTGGCCTACTCTTGCTCAGATCTGATGTGTGCAGTCACAGCCACTGTTGGTTTAAGTGTCATGAACACTTCTCTTCCTTCTGCTGTTCCTCCGTGAAGCTCTTCTGTGGGGATGCGTGTGTTCCACTTATGGCTGGGCACATGGCAGTTGCTCATTCTCCACTAACCCTGCAAGGTAGTGTCTGCTCTTGGAGCAGAACTCAGCCTTCAGCATTGTCAGAAGTAGAAGTTCAGACCTCCTACATACTTCAAATAAAAATATATCCAGAAGTTGTAATAAAGGCCAGGCGTGGTGGCACACATCTTTAATCCTAATACTTGGGAGGCAGAGGCAGGCGGATCTCTGAGTTCAAGCCAGTTTGGTCTGCGTAACAGAATTCTAGGACAGCTAGAGCAGCATCGTGAGACCCTGTCTCCAAACAGAACAGACAAGAAGTTCAAGGCACACCCTTTCAGGAAAGTGGGATTTGGTTGGTAGAATTGTTTTGTAGTACTTACTGAGACCAGAACTTCTCAGTGTGGCTAAATGTGTAAAATGTTATTTAGTGTTATTTCTTGAGTTTCATACTAAACCATCAACACCAAACTCTTAGGTACTAAGAGAAATGAGTTGTTCTCATTCCTAGGCTGACAATCGGAAGAGGCATAAGGAAGAGAACAATGATCACCTCGATGACTTTAAAGCGGCAGAACACGCTTGGCAGAAACACAAGCAGCTCAATGAGTCCATTATTGTCGCACTCTTTCAGGGTCAGTTCAAATCCACAGTGCAGTGCCTCACCTGCCACAAAAAGTCTCGGACATTTGAGGCTTTCATGTATTTGTCATTACCACTAGCATCCACAAGTAAATGCACATTACAGGTAAGTGTAAGATGAAGAGAGCATGTGTTGATGCAATGTTACTTGTGTGTGCATAGAAGTTTGTCTCATCCTGACAGGAAAATAGGTGAGCTCATCCTAGCCCTTGGAATTTTTATTATTACCTTACTATTTTATATGATGGGTCTTTTGCTGGTATATGTCTGTGTACCAACTAAATGCAATGCCCACAGAGGCCAGAGTGGACATTGGATTCCCTGAAGTAGGAGGGTGTGAACTGCCATGTGGGTGTTGGGAATTGAACCCAGGTCCTCAGCAAGAGCAAGTTCTCTTAACTGCTGAACCATTTCTCCAGCCTATAGCCATTAACTTTTTGAAATGGGACTGGCCTTGAACTTGAGCTATTCTTTCTTTGATTCTACAGTGCTGGGGGGAGAAGGGGTATAGGCAGGTCACCAGGTGCTGCCAGAAGTTTGTTGACAGTATTGAATGCAGAGCCTTGTGCATGCTGGAGAGTACTTCATCAGTCAGCCAAACCCCCATCTGGAAAAGTATGTATTTTTCAGGAGTTTTGAAAGCTAACTTGGGAAGTTGCATTTGACATTAACTTAGATCTGCTTTTTCTGTGTACTTTACCTGGTGATCAGACGTATTGTTTCTACACGACAGCAGTGTAACTAATAGAATGGCTTGTATTGATACCTCCAATCTTCACTTCCTCCAATAAGTCCACCATGATCCACCAGACCCAGGATAAAGGTCCTTGTGTGTGCTGTGCTGACCCCTCCTTATCACAGACACTTGCTCCACCTTATCGAGGTGTCCCTGTGTCTGCAGCACTCTTACTGCAGAGGGTCTCCTGGCACTCTATGAGGAAGGGAATCACTGAGTATTCACGTGTGATTTTTTTTTTCCCACTAGGACTGCCTTAGATTATTTTCCAAAGAAGAAAAACTTACAGATAACAACAGATTCTACTGCAGCCATTGCCGAGCTCGGCGGGACTCTCTAAAGAAGATAGAGATCTGGAAATTGCCGCCTGTGCTTTTGGTACACCTGAAACGGTAAAGTCTCTGCGTATGCACTAGCAGTTGATGGAGGAGCTCTAATGTCTGTAATTTGCACGTCCTGTATTGTCTTTCAGGGAAACCTAATGAAGATTCTCCAGAACAATTACTGGCATACATGACAGCAGAGAGACAGTACCTGTCATTTTATGTCATTCCATGCGATTCTGTTAATGGAACTAAATTATTGCATTTCAGATAACAAAATTTTAAGTCACATCAAGTGAAATGTTACATAATGTAATTCCAAAACAGATTAGCAGATAAAAATTAACATTCAGGTGCTGGAGAGATGGTTCAGTAGTAAAGAACACTGGCTGCTCTTCCAGAGGATCCATGTTAAATTCTCAGCACTCACATGGCAGCTCACTACTGCCTGTAACTCCAGTTCCAGGGGATCTAACGCCTTCTTCTGGCATCTATGAGCACCAGACACACACATAGTGAACAGACATAAATGCAGGCAAAGCATCCATACACATAAAATGATAAAATATTTTTTTAATTAACATCCAAATTATAGCTGGGCAGTGGTGGCGCACGCCTTTAATCCCAGCACTTGGGAGGCAGAGGCAGGCGGATCTCTGTGAGTTCGAGGCCAGCCTGGTCTACAAGAGCTAGTTCCAGGACAGGCTCCAGAAACTTCAGAGAAACCCTGTCTCGAAAATCAAAAAAAAAAAAAAAATCCAAATTATAAACTATAACAACTTAAATATATGTAACATGGTAGTACAGACCTGTAATTTCAGCTTTTGGGAAATGGAAACAGAATGACCAAGAGTTCAAAGCCAGCCTGGACTTTCTGAGACCTTGTATCAAAAAAGAAAAAAAAAAATGTAAAATAATGCTGTAAAAAAAAAGCCCACAGCATTGTATGTGCAAAAAGAACTCCCACAATGAACTGCTTCTCAACAACTCAGTGTCTTCATCGGTCTTTCCATTACTAAACAGAGGCCATGTATTGTGTGTACAGGCAGACACTTGTCATGCCACACATGCAGAGGACAGCTTTGTGGAATCCTGTCTCTCCTTCCACCCTTACATGGATTCTGGGCATTGAGCCCAGGTTGTCGCGAGGTTTACATGGCAAGTACTTCACCACTGAGCATCTTGCTGGCCCTAAGACGGCACAGCTGATGTGAAAGTTAAGAGCTTGCCTTGAAATCCATGCTAAATTGTGAAAATTGGCGCTTGTCTTTGCTGTCAGTCTGACTCGTGTGGTGCTTGTTCTGCAGATTTTCCTATGATGGCAGGTGGAAGCAGAAGCTGCAAACATCCGTGGACTTCCCGTTAGAAAACCTTGACTTGTCCCAGTATGTTATTGGTCCAAAGAACAGTTTGAAGAAATATAACTTGTTTTCTGTTTCAGTAAGTATCTCATTGAACTAAAAATGTTTTTAAAACAAACTAAGAAAACAGGAGGCTCCAGCACTCTTTCCTCCAAGCTTTGGCAATAACTGACTTGTGCTACGTAATGATTCAGCTTCTGTTTGTCTTGATACAGAACCACTATGGCGGGCTGGATGGAGGCCACTACACGGCCTACTGTAAGAATGCGGCAAGGCAGCGCTGGTTTAAGTTTGATGATCATGAAGTTTCCGATATCTCCGTGTCTTCTGTGAAGTCGGCGGCGGCTTATATCCTCTTTTATACTTCATTGGGACCACGCGTAACTGATGTAGCCACATAAAGAGGTGTAGGCTATGGTGTATTGTTTTTAAATCGCAGAGGTACATCTAATGCTTACAAAGATAACAGAGCGCTGAGACTGGCTATGTAGAGGAATTCCAGAATCCTGGGGGCTGCATTACTAGCACCATATAATCAGGTCAATGCTGTTTATCAAAAGCAAAAACAAACAACTGACGTTTAACAAATATCCCAGTAAGCATCCCTACGTATCATTTATTTCAAAACAACTTTTTTAGTCTGCCCCAAAGTTAAAAATAATCCATTAGCCAGATGTTTATTATTCTATTGGTATAAACCATTGTAACCCTCAATTTCCTATTCATTGCTATAGCCTTTACTCATTTCTAGTCCCAGCTCGGTCCACTATGAGTACTCTAGGATGACCTAACGCAGATAGGAATGTATGTGTACATATTTATTGCACTCTTGCACATCAGATTGCTGTACATAGTTTAACATGCCCTTCTCTGAAAGCCTGGGAAAGAGAGATTTTTTTGTTCTTTTGGCCTTTTCTAGGTAGCTGCAGTGCTTTCTTGGGAAAACGACAGGGCAAAACTATTTTTCTGTTGGCTTTGGGCTGTATTTGTGCACTAAATCTTTATTCTAAAAAAAGGAAACTTTAATTTTTTAAAAATTCATTTACATCTACATTAAAATCTTAATGAAAAAGAAAACATTTGAAACCTTGTAAGTGTTCTTTCTCCCCCACATCCAGGTTTTTTTTTTTTTTTTGAGGCAGAATCTCACTATGTAGCTCTGGCTGTCAGAACTCACCAGCTGGCCTCAAACTCAGAGGTCCACCTACCTCTTACGTGTTTTTACACAGATCTTATTACCTTAGTTATTGTATAGAGTTAGGACTATTCCACGCTAGTCACATGTAAAATAATCCCCAGACTTCTGTCTTTTCTGAAGAGTTATGGTAGAGTGAGCTGCTATAGTAAGAAGCAAACTCATTATCTCTTATGTCTCACTCACTCACTCACTCACACACACACCTTGCTGAGACCATTTAGTGTTGCTCACATGTTTAGAGCTCACCACTTGAGATTGGGTTGAGTGCCAGGGTTCTCATCCCTGGAGAAAACTGATTCTTCCATTCTTAGCTCTCAGTTGCCTATAGCTCTTCATCTAGGGATAGGCCCTTGTGAGATTATCCCCATCTGTGCTGCCATGTCACTGTGCAAGTCTCATTGTTGAGATTTTGTGGGTGCCGCTTCCTTGCCGTATGCAGAAGACGCTATCTCAGAGCAGTTGCCCCTGAGCTGAGATGTAGTGGCCGTGCTGTAGATATATCTTTTGGGGCGAGTGCCACTTGGTCAGTTGTTGTCTGCATTTTGAATTTTGATTAGTAATGACTCTCTGTGATAGTCTCCATCTGCTGTAAAAAGCTTCTTTGATGAGGGGTTGCGAGCTACACTACCTGTGGATCGATACTTAGAATGAAGTTGAGAGTTACACTGGCAGTAGGAGACTCTCCTCTAGGGCCCATCACCTCACCAGTCATGGGTAGCTGACTCAGTTTATCAGGCATGGATCCTTCCCTTTAGACCACTCAGACCAATTACATGACAGCTGCTGGTTATCCCCAAGATATTGGCGCCACTATTGCACCTACTGGGATGCTTGCCTCACTGGCCATGTGCTTTATAGGTGTCATAGCTGACTCTGACTATTGGTTGCTTTCCTCCCTTGGCAGCGCACATAGCATGTTGGGATACTGTGGGAGCTAGTCCTCAAGTACAGGCTTCCAGGTCAGGTCCAGCTCGGTTCCTTCAAGTCCTGTGTGTAAAGTATGTGCTGTCCTCAGCAACAGGGTCTTAACCTTCAAGATCTAGAAGGCAACCAAGGGCAGTACAATAGTCCATATTGGTTTGGGAATTCTTCTTCTTTTTTATATTTATTTGTTTATTTGGATTTTCGAGACAGGGTTTCTCTAGCTTTTGGTGCCTATCCTGGAACTAGTTCTTGTAGACCAGGCTGGCTGTTTTGGGAATTCTTCTAAACAAAGATTCTAAAAGTGTTTTGGGAAGTGTTTATTTAGCTTAGGTTAGAGCATGGGTTTCAAGTTGTAAGATTTATTTTCATTTTCTGTGTATTGGTGTTTTGCCTGTGTGTATGTAGATGTGTATCTTATGGGCATAAGAACTAAACCCAGGTCCTCTGCTAGCAGGGAGGACTCATAACAACTGGGCTATCTCCAGCCCTACAGGTCATATTTGCACTTAACTTTTCCCATGTGTTAAAAATCAATCTTGGGACCTCATACATGCTGAGGAAACAGCCTACCACTGAACTGTACTCTCACATGTGCGAATAATTATTTGTGTTAGGCTGGATAGATGGCTCAGTGCAGACCCCAGTTCAATCCCCAGGACCCATATGGTGGAAAAGAAAATGAACTCCCACAAGTTAGCCTCTGACTTCCACGTGCACACAGATACAAAATAAGTATAAAAGTTTTTGGAAAATAATTTGGTACTTATGAAATATATTGTGATAGGAACCCGCCGCATGAGACATTGACCTTTGGAACCTACAGTTCTTAGGCTCCCGTGATGGCCGCGCATGGCTTCCATGCTGCCCTTAGTGAGCAAGGACTGTGTCTTCTTAGGCTCACTTATAGAGGCCATCTGTGAGACTTACAGACCTCAGCGATGTAAGCAGGTTGTAAGGATTTAATGACAAAACACATTGCACTGCAGTTCCTGGTGGCTGGTTTGCAGTGATCAGGGCGCTGTCCTAGCTCCTGCGCTTCTGTATTGGCATAGAAAAGGGCTGGCAGCTATAGAACAGAAGATAGGCTGTAGCTGTTTGAACTGAAGTGTCTGGGATCTCACTGACTCGGGTGTCATCAAAGCTATACCAGGCCTGAGTTACTGAGTTCTTGCAGAAGGCAGTGTAATGTCCACCATCCAGATCGCCAAAGTGGTTCTAGGAAAGAAAGGGTGTAAGACATGGTTTCTACATGCAAATACTCTGACAGAATAATAAAAATCACAAGGTCAAAAAACTTTAAATTGTCTGTTGAACTGAGGAAATAGTTTTGTCAAGTCTTACCTAATGTCTGACTTTGAATTGCTTATATATTGTACTCATTGACTCCTTAATAGAATTATAAAGGAAGTTGGACAGTATATATATGATTTATAAATTTTTAATTTATATATAAAATTTTAAATTATTTTAAAATAATTTATGTGACCAGGCAGTGATGGTGCATAGCTTTAATCCCAGCACTCAGGAGACAGAGGCAGAGGCAGGAGGATCTCTATGAGCTCAAGGTCAGCTCGGTCTACAGAGTGAGTTCCAAGACAGGCTCCAAAGCTACACAGAGGAAATCCTATCTCAAAAAAACAACGGTAATTTCTGTGTGTGGTTAGCCTGCATATCTGCATGTGCACCACATAATGCCCATGTTCATGGAGACCTGAAGAGAGCATTGGATCCCTGGAACTGGAGGCACGGATGCTTGTGAGCCTCCATGTGTATGCTGGGAACTGAACCCTGGCTTCAGGGTCTCAATGCTGCAACAGTAAAACTGAGTAGCTGGCAAGAAAAAAAGAAACTATGACTATCAAGGCCTAAAATATATCTTAGCTGGCTTTTTTACAAAGTTTCCTGACCCCTCATATAAAGGAAAGAAAATAACATCAAGTGATAACTTTAGAAATGCTTCCACCTTGCGAGCCCTACTCCTGCATCTGTGAACAGCAGGGAGGAAGACTTAGGGAGTCCTAAGGCTCATACCTGTAATCCTCAAATCCTGTAAAACCATTCATTCGCTAGCACGAGGCATGCTGGCTGAAATATCAGCGCAGGAGGCCGAGGCCCTTGGAGGATTGAGGCAGGACTGCCACAAGTTCAAAGCTTGGAGCCTGGAGTGAGATCCTGCCTCAAAAAGAAACCGTCTAGCTTTTTTATTTTAATTTGTGTGTTTCCCTGAGCACCACGTATGCTGGTGCATGCAGAGGTCAGAGGAGGGTTTGGGTCCCTTTCAACTGGAGTCACAGTTGTGAGCCATCGTGTGGGTGCTGGGAAATAGACCGAGGTTCTCTGCAAGAGCAGCCAGTGCTCTTAACCACTGAGCCATCTCTCCAGCCCCTTTCAGCCTTTAGGAGGTAGATACCCATTTATGTCTCCTTAATCCCCATCTTGTCTCTTCATGTCATAAAATGGAGGAAGCAGATTGAAGAGCAGAATGAGGTGAGTGTGGTAACCTGAGCACTTGAACTGTGAAGCCACATAGGAGCCCTGGGGAGCACAGAAGCTGGACTGAGGTTTCCACACCTCCTGGAAGGACAGACTGAGGCTCTTGCCATCGAACCTGATGACCTGAGCTGAGTTTCTGGAACCCGCGTGGTGGGAGGAGGACTGATCCTGCAGGCTGACCTCCACACATGCTAAGTAATCTTTCAAACATAAACCATTAACACTAAGCATGGTGGCAGAAATACCCAGCACAGGAGGCTGAAGCAGGAGATCTTGAGTTGGAAGCCAGACTGAGCTAAGGGGGAAAACTGCCTGAAAAAGAAAACTTAAAAACACCAACACAAAGCATATGATGGATGCTCAGCTGCTACTTAAAACCTCAGGCTACCAGGTGCGGGGGATATCTTGTAATCTCAGTACTTGGGTGTGGTTCAAGACCTGCCGGGGCTACAAGAGCCTCTGTTTATAAATAAATAAACAAACAAACACTTTGGTTTTGGTTAAATATTTTAAGAGCTGGGTAATATCAAGCAAAGAGAATGTGTGCACTGGAGCATGGCGTATTGATTAATAGAACAAATGACACTGTCACTGGAAATCAGGAAGCCTCGTCAAGTGTTAAGTAGACAGTTCCATATGTTCGGCAATTCCCTCCTAGGTATAGCCCCAAGAGAAATCAAACTGTCCACACAAAACCCTCTGTGGGATATTAATAGTGACGGCCATAAAGTAGAGCCGACCAAGGACCTCTCAATGAAAGAATGGACTGTGGTTGTTTACATAGTACAGTGATATTTGGCAACAAAAGAAACGAGTACGTGCTACAACACACGGAAACCCTTAAAAACATGCTGAGAAACAAATAACACTCATGTCTTTAATCCACTGTTGAGCAGGTCTACAGAGTGAGTTCCAGACTGACAGAGCTACATATCAGAATTCTGTCTCAGAAACAAAACCCAACATAAAGCAGTCCTTGGGTGGGTGCCAGGCTGGTGGGGATCCGTTTAGACATACTAAACTGTTGTAGAATGTGATTGTGGTGCTAACGGGCAGCTATGTAAGTATACACCAGAACCACTGAGCTCTGCACACCTACGTGGAGTTTCCAGTTATCCACGGAAGTATTTTTAAGTCGGAAAGACAAAAAAATAATAATTTACAGCCAGCCAAAAATTGAATGAATTTGTTGAATACAGACACACCACATAATACACACACACACTATGGTTTGGAGCAGTGCTACCCATAGATCACAGATGCAGACTTTGTCCCCAAAGTGTGAGGTGGTAGAACCTTTAGAGATGGGAACTTCTCAGAGGGCTTAGGTCAGTGGGCGTGTGTCTCATCTCCAGATGTGAGTCACTGTCCTGACGTGCCTCTGCTGAGACACGCTAGGCAAACAGTGAGTAGTCACAACGCGGTAAGGTTAGGTTTCTCCCAGATTTAAACCCAGAGATGCACACATGCCAGGCAAGCAGTCTGCCACTAGAGCCTCAGACCTGTGACAGTAAGAACACACAGACAGAAGACCTGTTTTCACACACACAAAACCTCAGTAGGGCACGCTTAGTAGACACCTGAAGTCCCAGTGCCCAGGAAGCACGTTCAAGGCTATCCATCGTGAAAGTGCAAGGACCAACTCAAATTCAAGTGCTGTCCCACCATACAACAGCTAGAACAGCCCAACAGAAAGCTTCCAAGCACAACAGAGGCTTAAGGCGGCCACACTTCCCGCTGCTGCTGCTGAGCTGTGAACTGGAGCAATTTTGGAATGCCACCGTCTGAGTTCCTAATGCTGGCATATGCATACCCAGCCACCAGTGCCCCACTCCCAGAAATAGCCCCCGAAGGCCCGAGGACATCTGTACCACAGCAATACTCATGGGCTAGAGCACTGCAGACAGCAGAAGAGGCTATGGTGACTTCACACAGTGGACCCTATCCAGTGGGCACAATGAACTGTGTGTAGCAGTGTGGATGCCTTTCAGAACTGTGAGCAGAAGGACAAGATCCTAGTGAGGACATACTGCAGAATGCATTTACATAAAGCCCAAAAGCAGAGTCTTGTTTCTGCACCCGAGGAGGGAGAAGGACAATTACACACGAATAGTAATGTCTGAGCCCTGTTTCCTGTTTCTGCTTTTTCAAAACAGGGTTTCTCTGTGTGTGTAGCCCTGACTGTCCTGGAACGCAGTCTGTAGACCCAGAGATCCACCTGCCCCTGCTGGGATTAAAGGCGTGCGCCATTACTGCCCAGAATGGTCCCTGTTCCCACCTGTGCCATTACTGCCCAGAATGGACCCTGTTCTTAGTGCACGGATGTGCTCACTGGACAGCTCGCCCAAATGTCCTTCAAAAACAGTATTTTGGAGACAGGCCCAGCCTAGCCTCAAGCTTAAACAGGTGAAAGTAACCTTGACCTTCTTGGTCCTGCCTCTACCTCCTGAGTGCTTAGATTATAGGTGTGCACCCCCAGTGGCCATTTATGGTTTGGTGCTGTAGATTGAAACCAAGGCTTTGTGGATCCTGGCAGGCGCTCTATCAATAGCCACATCCCCCAGCAGCACCCCCCTCCACCCCCAGAAAAACAGGATTTTCTACAAGGAGGTTTAAGAAATGCCAACACTCCCTTATACTGCCACAAAGAGCCAAACAGCAAAAAAAGAACTGCATTGTGAGGTGAGGTACTAAGAGCGCTGGCCATGAGCAGGAGAGCAAACAGCACAGCGGCATAAACTCTGTATCTACTCTGGCTACCCCAGCTCTATAGCAGGGTGGGGATGACAGAGACTGCCCACTCTCGGCAGTGTGGCAAAATGGCTGTCACCCTTGCCTCCACGGTGTTGGGCTATGCACCCATATGTATTATGGCGAACCCAGCTAGTGGAAAGTCTGGTAGCCCACACAGGCTTGCAGCTAAACTAGGTAACTGATCTGATGGGTGTCTTCACAGGCAGTCTGACTTTGGAAACCAGTTCCCATCCTCTTGACCGTTTGGCAGGATGGCGTGGCCAGGAGCCATCTGGATAAGGGACCTGCTGTCTCAGTGCAGTATACTATAGAAATCTCTGCATTGTCCATCTCCAGGAGCCATCTGGATAAGGGACCTGCTGACTCAGTGCAGTATACTATAGAAACCTCTGCATCGTTCATCTCCAGGGCCCCATAGACATCCCACTCCCCTGCATGGCTCAGTAGATAGCTGCATCACAAACCAAACAGCCCGGCTGTCCGACCCCAGCTCAGCCTCATTGAGTAGCCAACCCAGGTGGTATGCCATGGTAGGGAGTAGAGAACCCTCTCAAGCATTGGAGAACCAGAGGAGCCTTCCCACAGAGGCCAGGCGCATGGGAACTGGATGATTTTCACAGTACTGCATCCCTCTGGCCACGCCTCTCCCACAGTGCTGCATGTGAGTATCTGCCACGCCACACAGGAGCAGAGAGGCGGGATTACCTTCCAGCAGAAGCAGCACCAAGTTTAGGACCCGAAGGTGCCTTTGAGTCTTATCTAGAGATAGCAAGTCATATTGTCAAGGTTTCTGAGCAGTAGACTCACCAGATGCCACATACCAACACCAGATGCAAAAACCAGTTGTGACTTAATGACCCGAAATTCAACCAGTAGACCTGAGAACTGCACATCTTCAAATCCAGGCAGAGAAGACAGAGAGAAATGAATGCTGATAATAGAAGGCTCTAGAACCAAGGGACACTTCTCCAGACAGCACTTAGGCATAACAACGAGACTGGGAATGAGCCTACCTCAACATCTGGCCAATTCCAACAGATTGGAATTAGGATATGCTTCTGTTAGCTGTGAGACGGATAGTGGTGGTGATTTCAGAATAGTCTGTGTCTGTGAACGGTCTGCAGAACCAGCAGGATAGAGCTGCATGGCCCTGTTTATCAGTCAGCGCCAAATGAAAGGTGAATGGGAAGGTATGTATGAATGTATGTGAAAATTATATAACTACAGAGCCACAGTAACAGAAACAGACACACAGGTCAATAGAACAGAACAGAAGAGCCAAGAGTGAGTCCATGCTACCACAGCCACCTAATCTGTGTGCATTCTGGTGCCATGGAAACCAGAAGAGGGAGCTGGAGCCTTCTGGAACTGGAGTTAGTTACCCATGGTTGTGAGCTGCCATGTGGGTCCCTCTAGAACAGCAGCAAGCACTAACCACTGAGCCACCTGCTTTTTGACAAAGATGCCAAAAACTCCTGCAGAAAAGACAGTATCTTCAACAGATGCCTCGGGGAAACAGGCAGCTACATGGAGAATGAAAGTAGATCCGTTCCCCCCATACAAAAATTAACCCCCCGAAAATTAAAACTCCTGTTGACAAAGGTGAGCGTATGAGCAAGACATGAGTATGGGCAAGGCCCTCCTAACAGGGCTTAGCAACTAGGAAATAAGGCAAGTGGGACCTCATGAAACTAAACAGAGCGCAGACGTGGCTTTGCCCGAGGTGCTCGTCAACTGATGACAGATAATGAAAAAGTCCATATACACGGTGAGCTGGGCGGTGGTGGCGCACGCCTTTGATCCCAGCACTCGGGAGGAGGCGGAAGCAGGCAGATCTCTGTGAGTTCGAGGCCAGCCTGGTCTACAAGAGCTAGTTCCAGGACAGGCTCCAAAGCTACAGAGAAACCCTGTCTCAAAAAACAAACAAACAAACAAAAAAACCCATATACATGATGAAATTCTATTCAGTAAAATGAAATTAGGAATCCTGCCAGGAAGTTGATGGAACTGGAAAATACTAAGTCAAGTGAGCTAAGCCAGGCCCAGAAAGTCAAATACTGCATATGCAGATCCTCAGTTCAATTTTCAGATGTCTGTGTTGTCCGTTCTAGTGGGCTCCCCTGTTGCAGCGGTGAAACACAAACCAGAGGGGAGAAGTTGAGTCTGGCTCGTAGGTTCTAACCTCAGCCCAACACCGAGGGAAGCCGGAGCAGGAACCTGGAGCAGGAACTGAAGCAGAGGCCATGGAGAAGCGCTGCTTACTGCCTTGACCCTCCATGACCTGCTCAGTTTGCTTTTTTCATGACACCCAAGACCACCTTCCCAGAGGTGACACTGCCCACAGTGGGCTGGGCACCCACGTCAGGAGGAGGAGACAGCGGATCCCTGAGTCGTGATGGTCAGCTAATCTGGCTGACCAGTGAGAGACCTTGTTTCAGAAGCAAGGTGGAGGGGCTAGGAAGATGGTTCAGTGGTTAAGAGCACCTTAACCAAAATCAATTCCCCACACCATCACTGGGCAGCTCACATCTGCCTGTAACTCCAGTTCCAAAGGCTATGACACCCTCTTCTGGCCTCCAGAGCATCTGCAATTGTGTGTGTGCTTGTGCGTGCAAATCCACATACAATGGAAATTTTAAAACTGTCAAATAACTGACATCTACCTCTGGCCTCCACACACAAATGCACACATGTGCACATGTGCCATGAACACCTATACCTCCCTCCATGGACACACCTCAAAGGGTCACACCATTGTTCTAGGCAATAACTTTTTAAAATGTGATCCCAAAAACACGGGCAACAAACTTACTAGATGATGGAGTTGTGCAATAAAGACAACTAGAGAGTGGAGGGAAGACCCATAGCGTGCGAGAAAATATTTGCAATCCGTTTATCTGATAAGGATTAGTATACAAAATATGTAAGAAAACTCGCACAAGAAACAGCAAGGATGCAGGGCTTCCACAGAGACTCACACAGTGCCTGGTCCACGGAGAAGTGACCAGATAACAGTAAAGACAATGAGCAACCTGGAGTAGAACCTAGGTGAGGGGCTGGAGAGAGGCTCAGCGGGTAAGACCCAGTGCTCTCCCAGAGAGACCAAGCTCACAGTCACCTTTACCCCTATCTCTAGGAGATACATTGCCCCCTTCTTGCCTCTGTGGTCACTGTACATATAGGGTGTACACACACACACACACATACACACACAAAACTAAAATAATAAATATAAATCTTTAAAAACAAAACAGCCTTGTAAATTCCCACATTCAGCCAGGCGCGGTGGCACACACCTGCTACCTCAGCATTTGAGGAAGCGAAGGCAAGTCCCCAGGAGGGAATTCAAGACCAGCCTGGGTTTTATGGGACCTTGTCTGAAAAATAAACAAGGTTTCCAGAAATGACACTATAAATACAATTATTAAAATGATCAATACCTTGGATGTACCAGTTCTTAAAAAAAAATAAGTAAATGGAGAGAGACAGAGACAGAGAGAGGAGAATGAAGTCCACCTCTTCCAGGGCTCACCCAGAACCTTCCCTTCTAGTCTGGATGAATGGCTCAGGCAGGGAGTGCACACCACACAGCAGCCTGCTGGAGTGTGTGCTGCAGGGCAGGAGACTGGGTGAGGCCTGGAAGCCGCGTTTCTAACAGAGGCCCTGATGCTCTGGCTTTCGTGTGCTCAGTGGCTACCATAGCCAGGTCCCAGCCACCTTTCCTAGCACCACGTGCTGCAGTTTGAGAGATGCTTGCTTAGCTCTTTACTGCACCAGCAATGTGCCACAAGCTCTATGTGCTCATCTCTTCCTGAGCTGACTTCCAGTGCCTCAGCTAATAAGTCTGAAAATAATAGGAACATTTTAGATATGTGGGGTAATTTTCACAGAAGCGTGCATCTTTTCCTAACACACATAATTTTTAAATATAAGCTCCACTTTTTTTTTTTTTTTTTTTTTTTTTTGGTGAAGATTTTCCTGAATCCTAGGGTTGGAGAGATGACTAGCAGTTAATAGCACTGGTTACTCTGGCTGCTCTTCCAAAGGACCTGGGTTCAAACCCCTCACCCACATGGCAGCTCACAACTGTCTGTAACTCCTTTTCCAGGGGATCTGACACCCTCACACAGACAAACATGGAGGCAAAACACATTTTAAAAAAAATTTTAAAAATTTAAAAAATAAAGATTTTCCTGAATCAGAAAGGGATACAACGAGAAGTTAAAAAACTAAGATCTTGGGACACAGCACCTTTGAAACTCACGTTAATTAGAATCTCCATCTGATGGGAGAGAGGAAGAAGTCACTGTGAATGCCGGAGTGTAGGGAGGCAGCTGTGTGGAGAAGGGTAAATGGTACAAAGGAGACAGACGGCCTCCGGGGGAATAAGGGAGCACTGTGCAAGTCTGAGGGTGGTTCTGAACCAGGGAACGCAGAAGACTAGACATAATGCCCTCCCCTCTTTTTATTATTTTTATTTTTTTAATATTTTTGAGACAAGGTCTCACTATGTAGCCCTCACTATCCTGGAACATACTCTGTAGACAGGCTAACCTTGAACTCAGACATCTGTCTGCCTCTGCCTCCCAAATGCTGGTGGCGTATGACACCAGCCGACTTCATTTTTTTTTTTAAATAAATCTTTTTTTTTAAGATTTATTTATTTATTATATATACAACATTCTGCCTCCATGTATGCCCACATGCCAGAGGAGGATGCCAGATCTCAGTACAGATGGTTGTGAGCCACCATGTGGTTGCTGGGAATTGAACTCAGGACCTCTGGAAGAGCAGCCAGTGCTCTTAACCGCTGAGCCATCTCTCCAGCCCCCGACTTCATTTTTAATACACTGCTGAGCAATAAGATGAACTGGCAGGTTCAGTTTCAGCTCATCAGAGGGTCCTGTGGCAGGACTGCGCTCTGGAAGGACCCCCACCCTCAGACACAACAGCTTACACCGTGACCCAGGAGCCCAGAGAATGATTCTCTGCTCAGGTTGGTTCCTCAGGGAGATTCTGGACAGTGGTGCGGCTAGGACTCTGTACCAATCACAGCTGACTTAGAGCCAAAGGGAGCCGCTGGGACGGGCTTCAGCCAGGCATGGAGTCCTGGGACTGCTAAGTGCCTAGTGTGTGGGTGCTGGCTGTGAAGTGCTTCCCTAGTAACACAGGCCTGACCTCTAGGGGTGCACGTGGCCAAGACGCCTAGCCGCAGAGGCCGCCAAATGGAGGAGGGAGGAGGCAGAGGACAGGATGTTCTGTTCCCGTTAAACTCACCACCACAGCGCAGAGGTTGTACTTGGGATGTTTCCGGAAAATTGGACAGATGTAAGGAGTGAGGTCCAAGTTGGTGAGCGGGTAAAGGATTTCTGTTCTCAGCTTCCTCTTCATTGTACCCTGGATGTCAAACCTGCAACCATAACAAACGCATGAAATTCAAAATACGTTTGCGAGCCACTTGTGAACGAGGTCCACAGGCCTTGACACATTCCACGTACAGTTAGGGTAATTTTGAGATGATTATCTGGTATATAAATTGCTTCCTTCTTGAAATAAATTTATTTAGAAATGCCAGACCCTTCGGCCTCACCAAAGTGAGTCAGCGAGAGACTATACATCTCAGTAAGCCCTGCCTGGTGGGGAGAGAGCAAGGCAAGCACCTGCCTGGGGGGGGGGGGATAGTGTACGCCTGGGGGGGATAGGGTGGGGGGAGGGGGATAGTGTCTGCCTGAGGGGGGATAGGGTCTGCCTAGGGGGGGATGAGGGGGAGGGGGATAGTGTCTGCCTGAGGGGGGATAGGGTCTGCCTGGGGGGGGGATAGGGTGTGTGGGGGAGGGGGGAATAGTGTCTGCCTGAGGGGGGATAGGGTCTGCCTGGGGGGGTAGGGTCTGCCTGGGGGGGATAGGGTCTGCCTGGGGGTGATAGTGTCTGCCTGGGGGGGATAGTGTCTGCCTGGGGGGGATAGGGTCTGCCTGGGGGGGATAGGGTCTGCCTGGGGGGGATAGGGTCTGCCTGGGGGGGATAGGGTCTGCCTGGAGGATGGATAGGGTCTGCCTGGAGGATGGATAGGGTCTGCCTGGAGGATGGATAGGGTCTGCCTGGAGGGGATAGGGTCTGCCTGGAGGAGATAGGGTCTGCCTGGAGGAGATAGGGTCTGCCTGGAAGGGGATAGGGTCCGCCTGGGGGGGATAGGGTCTGCCTGGGGGGGATAGGGTCCGCCTGGGGGAGGGATAGTGTCCGCCTGGGGGAGGGATAGTGTCCGCCTGGGGGAGGGATAGTGTCCGCCTGGGGGAGGGATAGTGTCCGCCTGGGGGAGGGATAGTGTCCGCCTGGGGGAGGGATAGGGTCCGCCTGGGGGGGGTAGGGTCCGCCTGGGGGGGTAGGGTCTGCCTGGGGGGGTAGGGTCTGCCTGGGGGGGATAGGGTGTGCCTGGGGGGATAGGGTGTGCCTGGGGGGGGGATAGTGTCTGCCTGGGGGGGATAGTGTCTGCCTGGAGGGGATAGGGTCTGCCTGGAGGGGATAGGGTCTGCCTGGGGGAGGGATAGTGTCCGCCTGGGGGAGGGATAGTGTCCGCCTGGGGGGATAGGGTCCGCCTGGGGGGGATAGGGTCTGCCTGGGGGGGATAGGGTCCGCCTGGGGGGGATAGGGTCTGCCTGGGGAGGATAGGGTCTGCCTGGGGGGGATAGGGTCTGCCTGGGGGGGATAGGGTCTACCTGGGGGGATAGGGTCCGCCTGGGGGGGGATGGGGATAGGGTCTGCCTGGGGGGGATAGGGTCTGCCTGGGGGGATAGGGTCTGCCTGGGGGGGGATAGGGTCTGCCTGGGGGGGATAGGGTCCGCCTGGGGGGGATAGGGTCCGCCTGGGGGGGATAGGGTCCGCCTGGGGGGATAGGGTCTGCCTGGGGGGGATAGGGTCTGCCTGGGGGGGATAGGGTCTGCCTGGGGGGGGATAGGGTCTACCTGGGGGGATAGGGTCTGCCTGGGGGGATAGGGTCTGCCTGGGGGGGATAGGGTCTGCCTGGGGGGGATAGGGTCTGCCTGGGGGGGGATAGGGTCTGCCTGGGGGGGGATAAGGTCCGCCTGGGGGGGATAGGGTCTGCCTGGGGGGGATAGGGTCTGCCTGGGGAGGATAGGGTCTGCCTGGGGGGGATAGGGTCTGCCTGGGGGGGATAGGGTCTGCCTGGGGGGGATAGGGTCTGCCTGGGGGGGGATAGCACAAAAGCTGTCACCTAGGTGAGGCATGAGTCAAGCCACCTCTTCTCTCCTCCTCCCCCATCTTTCTCTGTCTCCCTCTTCTCTATCTCCCCTCTCTCTCCTCTCCCCAGAGTCTCACTATGTAGTCTTGGCTGCCCTGGAACTGTATAGTCCAGGCTGGCCTCAGATTCAGAGGCTTGCTGTCTCTCCTTCCAGAGTGCTGGGATTAAAGGCGCAGGCCACCACACCTGGCATTATCTTAGTGTTGGCACTGTTAGCGCCCCAGTTTCCAAGCTGAGATCTAAAGCTAAATGTAATGTTTTAGAAAGAAATTCTGTTCAAATCTTTCACAGTAGAAGTCACCAAATCTAAGCGCGTACCAGAATCATTCAGAACCTTTAAAAACAATATTCACTCAGAAAATGTGCTGATTTAGATATGAGGCAGGGGGATTACTAGATGAGATGAGTCATCCTTAGGCCATAAAGTGGGAATGCCTATTCCTGAAAACTAAGGGAATGCCCTGTATGGTGTTTTGAATGAAAATGACCCCCTTAGACCCGTAGGGAGTGGCACTATTAGGAGCTGTGGTCTTGTTGGAGGAAGTGTGGTTTCAGCAGCTGAAGCCAGGCCCAGTGTCACTCTGTCTGTCTGCTGCCTGAGGATGTAGAACCCTCAGCTACCTCTCCAGCACCATGCTTCCTGCCATGATGACAATGGACTAAACCTCTGACCTGTAAGCCAGTCCCAATTAAATGTTTTCGTTTATAAGAGTTGCTGTGGTCATGGTGTCTCTTGGTCGGCAGTGGTGGCACACACCTTTAATCCCAGCACTCAAGAGGCAGAGGCAGGCAAATCTCAATGAGTTCAAGGCCAGCCTGGTCTACAAAGCGAGTTCCAGGACACCCAGGACTGTTAAACAGAGAAACCCTGTCTTGAAACAACAACAAGATTTGCTGTGGGCATGGTGTCTCTTCACAGTAATAAAGCCCTAAGATACCCTATGGCCTGGTCTCCTAGGCAGGGATCACCCCCGGAAATATGAAGAGTTTTATAGACTGGGTGTTCATGCTACACAATGGAGCAACTCTATCCACGTCTGCCCAGACTGAAAGCAAGGCCAGTGGCCACCAGCTGGCTAATGGAGAAATAACTGTACCTCTATCTACAGAAGGGATGAAAACCCAGCAATGGCAGGGACCTGCCACAGCCACAGCCACACCCAGGCCGCCTCAAAGGCATCGTATCAAGAGAAAGGAGCCAAACTCAAAAGGCTAAAAGCAGCGTGATGCAGGGCATTCTAAGAAAGGCAAATCTGTAGGGACAGACGACAGATTAGTAACCCACGGGGAGGGCTGTGGGGATGGGTCAGGGGTAAAGGTACTTGCCATGCAAGCATAGGGAGCTGGGTTTAGATGCCCGGCACCCATTTCACTGCTAGGTAGCATGTGGGCCACCTGTAACCCAGCTCAGGCTGGCTAACTGGACTATCCAAATTGGTGAGCTCGGGTTCGAGCCAGAGACACTGCCTTGATACCTGACAGTGCCTGAAGAAGGCAAAAGACATCACCTTTGGCCTACATCCTTGCACACACAGCACCCCACACACAGGCATCCACACGTTTTCCTTTAATTCCCTGGGCTCATGGCAAAGGGAGAGAACGGTGGTAAAGAACTATTAGGGAATTTTCTGGAGTGACAGGTGGTGTTGATACATTGGTTGCAACAGATATCATTGTATGCATTTGTACAATTTCATAGACAAAATACATTTTATATATGTAAGTATATCTTTTTTATACTTTTTTTATTGATCTTTATTGAGCTCTACATTTTTCTCTGCTCCCCTCCCTGCCTGCCTCTCCCTTCTTCTCTTCAATCATCCCCCAAGGTCCCCATGCTCCCAATTTACTCAGGAGATCTTGCCTTTTTTCTACTTTCTACTTCCCATGTAGATTAGATCTATGTAAGTCTCTCTTAGTGTCCTCATTATTGTCTAAGTTCTCTGGGATTGTGGTTTGTAGGCTGGATCTCTTTGCTTTATGTTTAAAAACCACCTATGGGACTGGAGAGATGGCTCAGTGGTTAAGAGCACTGCCTGTTCTTCCAAAGGTCCTGAGTTCAATTCCCAGCAACTGCATGGTGGCTCACAATCATCTGTAATGAGGTCTGGTGCCCTCTTCTAGCCTGCAGGCATACATGCAGACAGAATATTGAGAATACTGTATACATAAAAAAAAAAGAACATGGCTTGAAGGGACTGTGTGCCAAAGTACACCTGTGGAGGTCAGAAGGCAACTTACGGGAACTGGTTCTCACCTCCTTCCACCACATAGGTCCTAAAGGTCAAACTTAGGTCATCAGGTGAATACCCACTGAGCTATCTCTCTGGCCTTCAACTTATTTACTTACTTTTAAAAATGATTTATTACTTATTTTTATTTTATGTGCATTGGTATTTTGTCCGTATGTATGCATGTATGAGGGTACTGAATCCCCTGGAGCAGACAGTCATGAACTGCCACATGGGTGCTGGGAACTGAACCCCGATCCTCTGGAAGAGCAGCCAGTGCTCTTAACCATTGGGCCATCTCTTCAGCCCCTCAACTTTATTTCTAAGACATATATTCTACTAACATATGACCATAGCATGAGTGAGGGAGTTACATGCTATCTCAACATTAGTAATTGATGGGGGAGGACCCAGGCCATGTGGGTGGTGTCACTTCTGGACTGTTGGCCCTGGGCGCTACAAGAAAGCAGGCTGGGCAAGCCATGAGGAGCAAGCCAGTAAGCAGCAACCCTCCATGGTGTCTGCTTCAGTCACTGCCTCCAGCTTCCTGCCCTGTTTAAGTTTATTATCAAAAAACAAGAGCCAGTGGTGGTGGCACACGCCTTTAATCCCAGCACTCAGGAGGCAGGTGGATCTCTGAATCTGAAGGCAGACTGGTCTACAGAGTGAGTTCTAGGGTGCCAGGACTACACAGAGAAACCCTGTCTTGAAAAACAAAACAAAAAGATGGAAAATTACAAGTATCGGTGAGACAGAGAACTCTGAGTCCTAGGGTTTATCCTATGAGAACATAAATGGATGCAGCCAGGATGGAGAAGACAGGCTGTTCTCAGAGGACCTCATGCTCAGGAACAGAAAGGTAGTATTAACTGTAGCTATTCCTAGTCACTTAAAGGTAGAAACAACCCAACTAACCCAACAAAGGGAAAAGGCACACACACTAGACTGTTATTAAACCACAAGAGTATCGGCTACAACAGGAATAAACCTTAGAAAATGTTCTGCTAGCTGGGCCAGGTATAGTGGCTACAGCCGTAGTCTTAGAACGCTAAGATGGAGACAAGAAGATAGTCCAAGCCCAGTTCCAGCTACGTGAGCTCCTTCTTCAAATAACAAAATTTATGCTAAGTGAAGCCTACCAGACAAAAAGAACAGTGTGTCTTGTTTTTTTTGTTATTGTTTATTTGCTTTTGTTTTCCTGGAACACACTCTTGTAGACCAGGCTGGCCTCGAACTCAGAGATCCGCCTGCCTCTGCTTCCCAAGTGCTGGGGTCAAAGGCGTGTGCCACCACTATCCAACATCACTGTTTTGGTTAAAGTTACTATTGCTATGATAAAACACCATGATCAAAGAAACTCGGGGAGGAAAGGGTTTACTTGGCTTACACTTCCAAATTACAGTTCATCAATGAAGATAATCAGGGAAGGACCCCAAACAAGCAGGGCAGGAACCTGGAGGCAGGAGCTGATGACACAGAGACCATAGAGGGGTGCTGCTTACTGACTTGCTCCTCATGGCTGGCTCAGCCTGCTTTCTTACAAAACCCAGGACCACCAACCCAGAAGTGACACCACCCACAATGGGCTGGGTCCTTCCCCATCAACCACTGATTAAGAAAATGCCCTATAGGCTCACCTACAGCCTGATCTTCTGGAGGTATTTTCTCAATTGAGGTTCCCTCCTCTCAGATGACTCTAGCTTGTGGCAAGTTGATATAAAAACTAACAGGCACAAACGATCCCTTGTCAACTTGACACACAAACACATCACTTATTAGATATAACCTTTCCTTCCTTGTGGTTCCCAATGTCTCATAATCAATATTACAATATAAAACACATTACAGACTTCCCACCCTGACCCCTTCAATCCTTGGGTTTCAATTGCTACTAAGGCTGCGCCTTTACCAATTGCCTCTCTCCTGGTCTCGTGCAGCCCCAACCTCAGCTGTTCTCCATGAGCCCTTCATGGCTTCAAACCCAGTGCCACCTGGGTGACTCTTACACATGGCCAAGTTCAGATGTAAGCCCAAGGTACAACCGTGGCCTCCTATGGAACATAGTCTCTGCATGCTGACTCTGGGGAACCCCTTCTCCGTCTCACTCCCAGCGACGCTGGTCTCTGACGGCTGGTACCGTCTCACTCCCAGCCGACCGCCATCATTTGTCACAGAGGTTTCACTTCTGTGGTCCTGGATCTTGTTAATCACAGCTGGTGTTTTCAGTCCCAGCTGACCATAACCAGAGTTAATTCAACACAACAACTATGCAACAGCCCTGACAGTCTTTAAGTAGCTCTCAAACGTCCCTCTTCACAAGCCAGGCCTCCAGAGACTCCTGTGCTCTCAACACTCTCATCTTCCAAGCTCCTACAGAGCAGCCCACTGGGCCCTCAACACCCATTGGCTTTTCTAGTCCAGAGTTCCAAAGTCCTTCCACAGTCCTCCGCAATACAACATGATCAAGTCTGCCAGAGCAGTACCCCATTGTCCTGGTTCCAAGTTCTATCTTTGAGTTACTACTGCTCTGATGAACATCATAGACAAAGCAACCTGGGGAAGAAAGGGTTTGTTTGGCTCACCCTTCTGTATTTCAGTTCATCATCAAAGGAAGTCAGGGCAGGAACCTGGAGGCAGGAGCTGTTGCAGAGGCCACAGAGGAGTGCTACTTACTGGCTTGCTCTTCATGGCTTGCTCAGCCCGCTTCCTTACAGAACCCAAGACCACGAGCCTAGAAACAGCACCACCCACAATGGGCTGGGCCAATCACTGATAAAGAAAATGCCCTACAGGCTGGAGGCATTTTCTCAATTGAGGTTCATTATTCTCAGGTGACTAGCTCAAGTCAAGGTGAAGCAAAACCAGCTGGCCCAGCTACTCTAGTGAAAAGAATAGGGATAAATCTACAGAGACAGGAAACACATTACAGAAGTAGGAACAAGGGAGAGGGGGAACATGAAGACGTTGCTTAATGGGTTTGGGCTTCTGTTTAGGTATTGAAAAGTTCTGGAAATTATGACAATTGACATTTAACATTGTCAAGGTAATTAATTCACTTGATCAAAATGATAGCTTTTATGTTGCATATATTCTAATAAAAGAAATTACATATTAAATTGGAATCCAACCCAGTCTATGAACTGGACTCTTTATTTCTCACTTGCCTGACACTGAGGACTAAGCCCCTACTTTGCCACTGGTTTTAGAACAATTAAATAGATAAACTATTAGTGTGTGAATCACATCTCAGGAAAATTTTTACACACCATCCACCTACAAGATGTCAAAATCCACATACCTTTTTAGGTGAAAAACAATTATTTTCGGTGCCTTGGAAATCGTGGCCCTCACAGCTGTTTCTTGCTTGCCTTCACAAAAGGAGCAATGGATTTGGTTGTTCCAGGTCAAGGTGTCTTGTTGGAAAAAACACTGGAGACAGTCCTGTTGGGAGAGACAGAGAGCATTTGCTGACCTGCCATCCCCGCTGACCTTAGAAGAAAGCAGGGTTGTAGTTGCTGATTATTTACAGCACACTGGAGGTTGAGGCAGGAGGATCGTGAGTTTGAGACCAGCCTTGCAATACAAGAAGACTCTATCTCTCAAACAAACACACAAACAAAACCATAAAATGTTGAAAGAACTGTGTACCTGTGCTTCTGGGAATTTTCCTAATGAACAGACCCAGAAGTCATGCCCATCACCAGAGCCCTGTAAAATCTACCTAGCAACCTTTTTTGTTTTCAGAGTTGGGGCTGATGGCTCACACCACTAATCCAGATGCAAGAGGAGTTCTTCAAGTCAAGGCTAGCTTGCTCTGCATACCAAGTTCCAGGCCAGCCAGAACTACACAGTGAGACCCTGTCTCAATAATAATAAATAAAAATCTGCCTAGCAACTAGTGATGCTTCTCACTGAGTGTGCTGCTGAGATGGGTTGGGTTCTTTTCCCACTAATAAATAATCTATGAATTATCACTTTAACTTTTCTGGTTTATTGCAGAATAATACAGACTTTGAAAAGCCTAGTAACAAATCAGATAGCTGTTTTCTACTCTAAATCTGCTGACACAATGTGGGGGTCTGAAATCAATCGTATCTCATGGTTTGGGGTGACAATTCACAGCAGATAAATTAGAGCACGCATCCGAGGAGATGAGGTCTCTAGCCAGGCCCTGCTTCTGCAAGTTCTTGACTTAAGAGGGGGGGGGGGGGGATAGGACACACAGACTGTTTTCATTAGAACTGCCAGTGCTTCCCCCAAGAATCTGAAAGTCTTTCCAGTGATCTTGAAGCCTTTTGATCAAATGGGAAACAAAATAAAAAGTAACAGGTTCTGCTTCCCTGCTGTGGACAGGAAAACTGTCGCCAGCAGATGTTTTCAATCTCAGAAGAAAACTTTGTGTAAACTCCTGCAAAGAAAGAGTTCCCTGATTCCTGATTGTTCCTAGACAGCCACTTCTTCCTACTCTGTACCCACATCACTCCACCTCCCCACTTACAGATGATTTCTGAGCACCATGGTAAAGAAAATCAGAGTGGCAAACCAAGCCACGACTTCTCTCTCTCCTCCCGCCACAGCCCACAGCTTCCATCCAAAGTCTAAAAGAGTCCGAGGGGCTGGGGAGATGGATGGCTAAATGATTAAGATCCATTGAGGACCTTGAGAGCTTGATAAAAACAGACTCTCTGAACATGGTGGACAATGAAGGCCGATGAGAAGCCAAGGACAATGGCACTAGGTTTCGATCCTACTGCATGAACTGGCTTTGTGGGAGCCTAGCCTGTTTGGATGCTCATCTTCCTGGACCTGGATGGACGGGGGAGGACCTTGGACTTCCCACAGGGCAGGGAATCCGGACTGCTCTTCAGACTCCAGAGGGAGGGGGAATGGAGTAGGGAGAGGGGGAGAGGAGTGGGAGGAGGGGGGGGGGGAATGGAAGGAGTGGGAGGGAAATGGGAGGCGGGGAGGAGGCAGAAATTTTTTTCAACAACAAATAAATAAATAAATAAACAATCCACTGAGGATCCAGGCTCAACACCCATGTGGTGGCTCACAGCTGTTTGTAAACTACAGTTGCAGGGAATCTGAAGCCCTCTTCTGGCCTTCTCGAGCACCAAGCATGCACACGGTTGCACATAAATGTTTGCAGACAAACATGCATACACTACATAATAAAAAGAAATCTTTTTTAAAAAAGAGTCTATTATAGCTAGTCCTAGCCTTGAACTATGGCATGTGGAGGTGTGGGCAAGTCAGAAGAGCTTCATAAGAAATCACAATCTCCATCTCAAGAGACCGAATAAACCTCACCCATATGTATAAGTGAGGCTTTGTCTTGAATACATTTATTTATTTATTTATTTATTTTTAAAATATTTATTTATTTATTATGTATACAATATTCTGTCTGTGTGTATGCCTGCAGGCCAGAAGAGGGCACCAGACCCCATTACAGATGGTTGTGAGCCACCATGTGGTTGCTGGGAATTGAACTCAGGAACTTTGGAAGAGCAGACAATGCTCTTAACCTCTGAGCCATCTCACCAGCCCTTGAATACATTTAGAAATACAACTAAATTCATAGTAACTATTAACTATAGGTTGCTTTTCGAAATATTAATAATATTGTTGTTCATTCATGGACTTCCTTTATTTATATCTTTTTTTAAATTTATTTATTTATTATATATACACTTTCCAGGATACAGTGTCAGATCTCATTACAGATGGCTGTGAGCCACCATGTGGTTGCTGGGAATTGAACTCAGGACCTCTGGAAGAGCAGCCAGTGCTCTTAACCTCTGAGCCATCTCTCCAGCCCCCTTTATTTATATCTTTAAGGCATATGACAGCCATTTCCTGCTAAAATTGTAGGGATAACAGCCATGACTATAATTGCAGTTTCTGAGAGATTCAGGCAGGGTTACTTGAGCCTAGTGTCCCAGGCTAGCCTGCGTGACACAGCAAGAAAACCCTGTCTCAAAAATAAGAAAATGGGGGCTAGAGAAATGGCTCAGAGGTCCTGAGTTCAATTTCCAGCAACCACATGGTCGCTCACAACCATCTGTAACAAGATCTGGTACCCTCCTCTGGCGTGTGGGCACACATGAAGGCAGAATGTTGTATACATAATAGATAAATAAATCTTTAAAAAAAATAAGTAAATTACCTGAAGGGAGCATTCATATTCAGATGGGATGGGGAGGGAGAGGACGGTGAAAACTTCATTCTTGTTGGTGCAGGTCTCACACTTTAAACACGTGATTCTGTAGTTGAGCTGTCCTTCAAACAGCCGGGTGATGATTGACGCCTCACTGGCCACCACCTTCCTGCAGGATCTGGGAGCAGATCTCTTCTCGTATGCCCTTCTGCCGCAGTGCTGTGTAAAGCGACAGATTCCTGTTGGTCATCTAGTGACCAACTAGATATAAAGCCAGGTAACACAGAATGGCTGTTCTTCCTATTAAAATGATACATTTTGACCAGAAAAGAGTTCTTTTTGATCCAGCCAGAACACTAAGGCCTTGGCAGCATCTGCCACCTGTGACAACTGATAACTCAGCTATTTCCCTCTCCAGATGAAACTGAAGAGTGACAATCATTGTCCCAACAGGAGAAAAGATACTCCAAGGAGAGACAATTGCGTCCTTCCTCTGCCTAACAGAATACTAATACTGAAAACAATGGTCCTTGGGATATTGGGTTGCTGTTCTCAGGGCTGAATGAAGCCTGGTGTGGGTGGGGGAGGAGCTGAGCTCCTGAGAAGAGATTAAACACAATTGCAACAATTTGTCATACTATCTTGTAAGAAAGATAGGCTGCGAAACAGTGATGGCTCGGTGAGGGCAGGACTCCCCTTGACCAGTCTCCTATTAGTTGTGCATACTTCAAATCACCTATTTAAACCTAAACCTCATGTCAGTACCCCAAAGTTGACTTGGGGATCACAACCTCTGTTTCTCTTCCCAGTCTAGCCACTCTGGGTCTTTCCAGTGTTTCTGTCTCTAATTGTCTTTACAAGAAGGTGGGGGGTTACAGAGAAACCCTGTCTGGAAAAAAAAAACAAAACAAAAATGAAGAAGGTGGGGGCTCAACCTCTGTAGACCAGGCTAGCCTCAGATTCACAGAAATCTGCCTGTCTCTGCCTCCAGAGTGCTGTGATTAAAGGCGTGCACCACTGCTGCCCGGCACAAGGTTTCCACCCTTTAAAAGCATTGGTAACAATTTGGCAAGGTAGGTGGGCACTTGCAAGCAAGTTGGCCCCAGAGAGAGGCAAGATTCAACAGGCCCCATACAGCTCTAGAACCCTTTCCCGAGGGGACTTTGGATCTTGGGTTTCAGCCAGCATGAGCTGCTTTGGAATTGAATTTAGCAACGAGAAATGTGTGTTTCGACCCTTTGCCTGGGCTTTGCCTTCTTGTTGGCATAGAGGCTTTTTGAGGTGCTTGATTTCATTTGGGCTATTATCCCTTGAATGTCTGAGCAAATCTGGAGTACTGTTGGGTCATTGGCCATTACCATATACCAAGGAAGGCCGGAATGTGAGTATTTCAGATCTCTTCCATAACACCTGCATTTGGAGAGGGGGCTGAGGCAGGAAGACTGTGAGTCATATACCTGCCTGACACAGTAAGACTCTGTATCATAAAAAAAGAAATATTAAAAGAAAAATTATTTTAGGAGCCAGAGAGATGGCTCAGTGGTTAAGAGCACTGACTTCTCTCCCAAAGGACCGGGATTCAATTCCCAGCACTCAATTCCCAGCACTCACATGGTGGCTCTTAACTGTCTGTAACTCCACTTCCAGGGCCTCTGTTGCCCTTTTCTGGCCTCCATGGGACCCTGGCAAGCAAGTAGCACACAGACATACATGTGCAGAAAATAAAAATTAAAAAAAATTGAAGTTAAAAAAGCAAACTAATCAATAAACAACAAATATCCTAACCTGGACATTTTCCAAAGGACCCCCAGCACCCAGAGCCCTATCCTACACACACACACACATACACACACACACACACACACACACACACACACACACACACACACGTGCGCGCGCGCGCGCGCGCGCGCAGATGTTTCCGATAAAGAAGCACACCTAGCTCAAAGCGGTTGGTTGGTTCTTACCTTTTTCAAAGCTTCATGAAGTTCATTGAGGACGTAAATCAGGAACTCCTGTGCATCTTGCTGTGTCTTTTTCAGAAAAACTGGGTAAAGGCTGCCAAGAGCCGACAGAAATATCTCTGGTGAGACACAGTCTGAGTCCCCAAGCCACATATCTGTCATCAGGTAGGCAAAGGCGGTGGTGACCTCGCTGCAATCCCTGGGAAGAAGAGAGGGCGAAAGGCAACTAGTCCCCGCTGATTCATGAAGAGCGGAGCCAGTCGTGGGGGATCTGGACCACGCCACCGACAGTTCTGCCTGCTGCCCACCCCGTCTGCTCACCCTTGATGGGTTACCCAAGGACCTACAGTGCCTGGGCTGACACAGCCCTTCCATCACCCCGCCTCGGGGAACTGGGGGAGCTGGGGGCGGGGCAGAGCTCAATGAAGAGCGCCTCTTACTTCTGAAGAGCTGTGACGTACTTTCCCGAGAGGAAGTACTCCACCAGCGGGGATATGCTGCAGAGGCATTGCAAGATGGCGTTCATGTAGCAGGTGTTGCCCAGGTTCCGCAGTCCTGTCATGCCCTGCAAGTGCGGCTGGCTCTCAGACTCCGGGAGGCAGGCATGGTCTGGACACTCTGAACTGCGTGGGCCACACACATGGAAGGAAAGTGTTTCCAGGGAAGAGAGTTAAGTGCAAGTGACAGCAAGGCCCTCACCACTTAGGAAATAAAGGGGTTCTTTTGTGGCTGGCAGTCAAGGTCTTGTAACCTAGGCAATCTCTGAACTGACAGTCTCCTGCTTCACATCCCAATCTGCGGTTAACCTGCCACCAGCTTGGCAAGGGGGGGTGGTGGTGGTGCTTGTTTTATTATGAGATAGGGTCTCCCTATGTAGCCCTGGCTGGCCCAGTACCGGCTTTGAAGACCAGGCTGACCTGAACTCACAGAGATCCCCCTGCCTCTGCTGGGATTAAAGATGTGCGTCACCATATCGAGAACATGATACATACACATAGTAAGAACATATATATTCATGTTAAGAACATAAATGTGTATATATGCAAACACGCATATATACATACATAGGGGAAAGGAGATAGAAAAAACTAGACTCACATCCTTACTATGCTAATGACTAGTTATTATATATTTATCATCTGGGTTCTTTTTTTTTTTTGGGTTTGTTTTTTCAAGACAGGGTTTCTCTGGTTCTGGCTGTCCTGGAACTCGCCCTATAGACCAGGTTGGCTTTGAACTCACAGAGCTCCACCTGCCTCTGCCTCTTGAGTGCTGGGATTAAAGGCATGCGCCACCACCCTGCAGTTGTGATCTGGGTTTTTGGGCCTGCTCATTTATAAAATAGAAACGATGAGTGTGGTCGTGTGCCTAACGTGAGGCTCTGGGTTCGGTGCCTTCTCCTCTTCTCCCAGCAGCCCAGGAATGCTCTACCTCCCTTGTGGGTCAGGCGTGTGCTGTGCTGGGTGCTTAGCCTAGATTATATAGTAAATGGTAGCTTTGAAAAGAATACAGTGGGGGCTGAAGAGATGCTCAGCAGTTAAGAGCACTTGCTGTTCTTTCAGAGGACCCAGGCTCACTTCCCACTGGCGTGGCAGCTGACAACTATCTGTAGTTCCAGTTGCAGGGGATCTAATGCCCTCTTCTGGCCTCCAAGGGCACTGCTTTGGTGCACTTACATGCCGGCAGAACATTCATACACATAAAATAAAAACAAATCTTTAAAAAAAAGTACAATGACTTACTTAGGATGGCTTAATGGTAAGGGATGGGATTGGAGCATCTGCCTGGCATGCAGAAGAGACGTGACCTCCTTTCCCTTTTATTATTTGCTCTATCTCAGGAGGGCCACTCAACACCTTCGTCCTTTACGATTTTCCTTTCCATGTTCTGAATCTAAAGTTGGTGTCCCATGATACAGGGGCCTCTCTCAGGACCTCTGCTCACAGTTACACCCATATGAAAAGTGCTCACTGGTACATGGAGGTCCTTTTCACTTTTGCTCACTGAGGTCACAGAGGCCCTGGACTGACTGCTCAGGAAGGACATCTATGTTACCTTTGGGGGTCCTTCATGAGTCAAATCTGGCAGAGCCCTCCCAAATGCAACACGTGCCCCGACTCCTGGGGGTAAGGCTCTGCCCCCCATTCCTAAGGTTATCTAAAAAGGCACAGTACATAGAGGCTCACAGGACATGGTAGATACCGAAGTCATCTGCTGGGAATGGCCGGTGAGAAGTCATTTTAGCGGGAGCACGTTGGATTTTCACTTCTACTCAGGAGCTAAGTTTGATCCTTTTAACTTCATTTCTCCAAGAGTGTTTCCTTGGCTACTGTTTGTTTTGTTTTTAAACAGTTTAAATGCTCTTCCCCCTTGCGGTTGCTGTAGACTGATTACAGCTGGCTCAGGCCTGTTTCAACTTGGTCCTTACCTTTCATCACAATTGTTTCCCATCACTCCAAGGTTCCAGCGTGTTGTCAAGGGATACGAGTGTTTGTTTGAGATGTGTCCACGTCACTGCTCTTCCTCCATTGCTGTTTCTCCTGGGTACATGTATGTTACACACAAGCACACACAGAGATGATTGTCCCTTGGATTAGAGGACACTATGGCAACCCTGCTCCCATGATCCGGAGCAGAACATCTCACCCTATGGAGGAAGGCTGGTTTTCTGATTCCCATGCACACTGCAGTGGGGTTACCAGGAGACAGTGGGACATGGTCATATTACCTGTAGCACACAGCTTATTATGAGATTTACAAGCTGTGACCTCAGGGGCACACAGGATTCTCTGAGCTCAGACTGGGGAAGAGGACAGCGCCCTTCCTCTAACTAGAGAAAGCATGTGACTGTGGCCTGGGAAAGTACCTGTGCTGGGGCCCTTGCTGTTGCTGGCCTGTTCTTCACTGAGCAGATCTACGGAGGCAGCCGAGCAACAGCAGAAAGCAGGTCGTAGGACCAACTGCTTGGCTTCTCTATTTATCCCAGGCAGGCCAAAGTAAGGATACCATCAAAGTCCATCTTGGTGAACCAATGAGTGTAAAGCTCATGAGGTCACTAACAGCAAATATGGATGAGGGGAGTGGGGGCACATGATCCCCCCCCAAATATGAGTGACAGTTTATGGACGCTGGACTCCAGGAGCACACACGGCCTACAGGGATCCAACAGGCTGGAGAGAGACCTTGTTAGGTCTTTTAATTACAAGTCACACATCACACCACACACACACTACCAAACCACACCCCAGTCTCCCCCGCACAAAGGCTAAGAAATATGCATTTATTATATCCATAATGATGCCCTCCGTGTGTATGTGGGTTGAGAATCAGAAGTCACATCAATAATCCCAACTCTAAACCTTTCCATATTTATTTTAGGTTTTTTTTTCCCTTATATCACTGATGCCACCGCATAAGACTCACGTATCTTCCCACTTCTAGCACGTGACACTCACTGGGCACTGCCCCAGAGCCCACCCTCACTTCATACAGCTCACACCAAGTTACAAGAAGAGAGAGCTGGCTCTTAATTTTTCCTTCTCCCTGGTGGTTTGTTTTAATCTGCCCCTCTTAATCTTTTTTTCTAGTTACCTGAAAGTTGTGCAGTACTTTCAAAATCCACTTCCATGTATTTTAGCTGGTCTGACAATACGAAGGGCAGCCTATGACCTTTTAATATAATTATGACTAAAATTGAGTAGCAAAAGTGACTATATTATTTTTCAGTTCTGGGTGATAAAGATTTATGTGAGCATTTCTATTACTCTACCTAACATCTGGTGGGGCTGGGAGGCAAGGAGTTCTTTGTGATGTCACAAAGGAAACAGTTGTCTTGGTAGATGTCTCCTGTCTGAGAATGCTCCTGCATAGGAAACATCCTTGATGCCGCAACTTTGGTTTTTCCTGATCTATCAGGAATTAAAGCACCAGGCACTCTCCCAACTGTCCCTCTGGTGCAATTAAAAAGCAACCTGTAAACAGGAGCTGGTCACAACTCCAACTTCATGCAATCCTTTATTTACATTGTGGTTTTGACAGCCCTTTTCTAAAATATCACAGGGAAATTTATAAAAGAGACCAGACACATGATTTTGGAGGTAAGTGGGTCACTTCACCCCTATGAATATGAAATGTGTTCCACAAATATTGATAAAACCTTGTAAAAACCCTAGTTTATAATCCAGTGGGCTGACTACTCCTTGCTCTGTCAGCCCACTCATCCCAATCTCTCTGGGGTGCTAAATTTGTACTTAAACTGTCTGTGTCAGAGCTGAATTATTTAAATAAAAAAAAAAACAAGGACCAAGGAGAAATGATCTTTGGTAAGAGACCAAAGTATGAAATTTAGGAGAGTGAGGTTTACCCATACTTAAAGTAATTTTCAGTGTGGTAAGATTTGGAGATCAGAAGAACCTTTCTCCTCCCAGTTAGATGTGATCCAGGGACTTGGGTTCCAGCTACTCAACAGCCAGCAAAAGTTAACTCAAGACTGTGGCTCTTGAGTTCTCTCACAAGGATGATTAAACATGCAAGGTGAAAGCAATCTTTCTTGGGAGAAGTCAAAGGAAAGTGAGACACCAAGGAAGAAGTTCCCAAGAGTTGATTGGGTGTCTAGGGCATTTTTGTAAGATTAGAGCAGAAACTGGACAAAGACTGGGAATCCTAGCCAGGCTGGCAGCACACAGCTTTAATTCTAATACTTGGGAGGTAGAGGCACATGGATTTCTGAGTTCAAGGCCAGCCTGGTCTGCAGAGCAAGGGACAGCTACAGATACATAGAGAAACCCTGTCTAAAAACCAGAATCCTATTGTGATTGGTTGTTTCTCTGCACATATCTGGGCCAATCAGAGGTTTACACACTCTTGTGCACATTCTTCTGGCCCACTCAGGAGAGTGGTCACACTTTGAAGCCCCTCTGTTCAGCTCTGATTTGCTTTGAGCTTGGCTAGTTTGTTGTCTTCCTGGCAGTGCTGCCAGCTCTTCCAATCCTGCAGGTGTTGCTGATCCAACCAGGGTGGGTCTGTAAGTGCTCATCAGCTCTTGGCTCTCATGTATTTCAGCAGAGTGGGGAGTGATTCCTATGGCATTACCACGACACAGCCGCAGTCCTTTTTGATTGTCCCGCACTAGCTCCTTGTCTATGGGTGTCCTTGGGAGGTTTCTTGTTAGAAGCTGCCCTCTAAGTTGTCTGTTATATTTAGCCACATAAAAAGTTCGAAAGCACTGTGCCTTGTCTATGTCTTCCAGGGTTTCATGGGGCTGGCCAGCCAACTTGCAAATATCAACTTTATTTCCAGATGTAGAGTAAAAGGGGGCAAAGAAAAAAAAATGTCCTGACCCTGACTTGACCCCCTAGGACTTAAGTCCCACCAAT